TTTTCCATAGTGGTTGTACTAGTTTGCATTCCCACCAGCAATGCAGGAGAGTTCCTTTTTCTCCACATCCTCGCCAACATTTGTTGTTGCTAGTTTAAACTAGTATAATATTTAATAAAAAAATTGTACAAAGAAAAAAATATTGGATGACTTCACATATAGGAGGAATATAGGGGAATCAAAGGGATCAAGGGGGAAAAATAACAATAATAATAATATATAATTATTAGCAGGCAACCATAAACCAGACATATTCTGTGAGGGATGGGGAGAAAAGGGATCAAAACAGGGGAGAGAAGAGCAAGGGGGTTATGGTGATGGTTCACAGATGAACTGGTGCTGGGAATTTTACAGAGAATACAAAATGATGTAAAAGATACAAATTTTAAAGAGTAAATTAATAATAATAAAATGTTTACTGTTTCAAAAAAAAAAAGTCTTATTAAGTGAACTGAGTTTGACTCTGAGAGCTATTAGACCTTTTTAATACTCTATATCACAAAGTTGAGAATTTCATTTGCAGAGACCATCACAGATTATATAATAAATACTATATTATGTCTAACTATACAGTATATTTTGAATCTTGTAATCATACTGTGTATATGCTGAATAATTCTAAAATTGGTAACATGTCCCTGGCTTATGGTCTAACACAAAACTAGGCTACCCTACATTCAAAATTACTCCAACAAGGCCAGAAGGGAGAAAAATGCCTTTACAGAGATCATTACCTGCTACTGGGCATCCCCAGTTAGGTAATAAGTTTCAGAAGTTACCTTAATCTCCTTGACACCAACCTAGGTGAGTTTCTATGTAGCCTTCAGATACGCAGATCCTCCTATGCCCACATATTTGTGTCTGCATTTTGGTTAACCTGAATGTCTTACATTTATCGAAATAGTGCTCAGAAATGACAACTAGTTATATATACCTTCTGCTATGGTCAGTGATTTACAAGCTACTAGCACCTCTATATTATATACGAGGAACTCAAGTTAGCAGGTTAAGTCATCAGCCACAGGTCACAAAGTATTTGTTCCCAGGTTCTTGTATGCAACCCATATTGCCTTCGTAGTGTTCCCCTCTGGTATTAATTTATTTCTGAAAAATTAGTGACATTTTATCTGACAAAATTATTTAATATAATGTCTACATTAATTTTTTTAAAAAGCCCTTTTGACAGTTCTACCTTGTAGAGACAGAGTTGATGAGTAGATAGAAAAGGGATGAGAAAGGGAAAAGGGTATTCTATATAGCAGTTACTGATTTGTCCATGGCAGGTTTAAAGTATTCTAATGACTGTGTATGGGAGAAAAAACAGCTAACACAGACAAATTATTTCTCTTTGTTAAAATTTAACCTGTACAATAAGCTTTTGTAGATTTTTCAGACCACTTACATACAAACTGTCCACTTAATGCAATTTTTATTTATATATGTTCATAAACAAGTCTGGAGTGACTTCCCTGTGGGGAAGGTTACCTGTAAAAATTGCTGCTGCGGTGTTTGTGTCAGCTGAGCCTGAGATGGTTGCTGAACTGAAGTAAGCTGCTGTTCCTGGGAATCCTGTGGCTGTTGCTGCTGCGGCGGTGTGACTGGTAATGTCTGTGACTGCTGCTGTTGTGTAGCAAAAGTAGGATAGGCAGTCACCACCTGGCCCATCAGCATAGTGCTAGGTACCACAACTGCCCCACAAGCTACAGGAGCAGTTACTAATTTGGTCACAAGTTGCTGACCTTGAGAAAATCTGTAAAAGGAAAGAAAGAGAGTCACAAGTATAAGAAATACTTTATAGAAGGCAGTGAGTGGGTTGAAAATGAGTATTATGCTAAGATAACACCCAAAGACATTGCCAATTTAGTTTTTAGAAAGCTATATACTCCAATTTTGTTTCATATATTTAAAGAGTCCCTTTGGGAGCCTAATAAAACAAAAATGTTTATAGCAAAATGAAATATCACAAAAATGTAAACTTTTTTGTATATCTATGTGCAAACAAAGTTGGGCCTTTACAAAAATGAATTCAAAATGAATTAAAGACCTACATATAAGAGCTAAAGCTCTTACAATAAAACATAGGGGGAAAGCCACATGGCACTAGATTGGGCAATGATTTTAACTAAAACATGGGCAAAGAAAGAAAAACTGGAGTCATCAAAAATAAAAATATGTATCAAAGGACATTATCAACAGAATGAAGGGGAAACCCACAGAATGGAAGAAAATATTTGTAAGTCATGTATGTGATAAGGCATTAATAACCATAATATATACTAACCAATCCTAAATTCAACAACAGACATTCAACTATAAAATGGACAAGGATCTTGAACAGACATTTCTCCAAAGAAGACAGGCCAATGGGCAATAGGTACCTGAGAAGTTCAACATCTCTCAGTATTAGCAAATGTGAATCAATACTATGCATCACTTCAGATCTATTAGGACAGTTATCATTTTTAAAAAAGTACTAATGAATATATGTAGAAATTACAACACTTGTCTGCTACTGGGATAGCAGAGGAAATAGTGCAGATACTAAGGGAAACAGTATGATGGCGCCTCAAAAAAAAAGTTAAATACAGAATTAAAATTTGATCTAGCAACTGCATTTCTGGATATATTGAAAGTATTGAAAGTAGCCATCAAAGATACTTGAACACCTATATTCATGATAGCAAAAAAGGTGAACAGAAACGACTTGTGCATGAATGGATGAATGGACAAACAAAAATTGCAGTATTCTCCACTATGGAACAGCATTCAACTTAAAAAAAAAAGGAAATGCTGACACTTTTGACAACACTGAGGACATTATGCCACATGAAATGAGGCTGTACGCTGTATGAGTCTATTTACATACCATACATGAGTAGTCAAACTCAGAGACTTATATGCTTAGGAAGTAGAATGGTAGTTTTAGAAGTTAAGAGGGCAAGGGAATGAGGAATTAGTGCTCAATGGGAAGAAGTTGAGTTTGGGAAGATAAAGAGAGTACTGGAGACTGATTGATAGTGATTATTACAATGGTGTGATGGTGCTCAGTGCAAATGAACCACACATTTAAAACTGCTTAATGGTAAATTTTTCTATTTTTTACTACAATTTTAAACCTGTTAAAAAAATTCCAGCTTTTAAAAAAAAAAAATTACGAGGTACTTGGGAACCAAATATAAATAGCATATGGTTCATTTTGTTAATCATAAATAAATTAAAAGCTATTACAAGGGAATTTTTTAAAACTAGTTTTACAGAAGAGTTATACTGAAAGTCGTATCTTATAATTCAAAACAAAATAGCATTCCAAAAATGAATAAAAATACCTTTGATTTATAAATTTATCACTATAGCATAGTATCCACTGTGTTAGAATTCACTAGCATTCTCTGTCTCTATACCTCTTACAATTTTCCTTCATAAAAGAACAACAGTGGCCCTCCCCGGTGGCACAGCGGGTTAAAACACAGCATTAAGAAGCTGGGGCCACTTCCGCATGAGTTCTATCCCCACCTGCCCCAGAGGTGACCACATGGCGTGGCAGACCTCTCCTGACCCTCCCACTGCTCCCCTCAGCAGTGTACTTCATCAACCTGCCTGTTCTGCTCCCCGCTCTATCTATAGTAAAGCCTCTCACCCTCCACATCTCTGGTTTGTACCCCAGTTCTGTATGAATAAATAAATCTTTAAAAAAAAAAAAAAGAACAACAGAAATGATATCTCTAAGGGAAAAATATTATTCCTATTTGCCTTTTCTAGAGATAAAGTTAGTTTCTAGCAATGGCCATTATAGTGAAGAAATTAAGATCTACTCTACTCTATGACGTAACTGCAAATAAGACTGTTTAATACTGTAACAGTATTAAAACTTATATAGACGTATACTGAGTTATATTATTTTCCACAAGACAAGCTTATTTTGAATCCATGCCAAATCTTGAAAAGAAAATATTCTATTTTATATACCTTAGGACCAAATGGAAAAACTACATAGATAGGAGGAGTAAAAATTTACAGTGCTGAGTGCTAATTTCTCTATAATCTTAAAAGGAACTGATACCTGAATTGCCCAACTGCTTACTGGTAAAATATGCTGGTAATACTGCACTCGTCTCTGGTCCCAAGACACATTCACAATCTACTTTCACTGAACTCTCATTTCTGTGATTTTGTATATTCTGTTCCCTCTGCAGAAGCATACCCAGGCCAAGCTCTTTAATGTTGGTGTGATGCCTGCCTGACCGTGTTCGATGTCTGGTGACGGTCCAGCTGGTATCCCAGGGTTTTCCCTAGGAAACGTGCTTTCACATGCACCATGTGGACTTTCGCCAGACATCGAACAAGGGTCAGGCAGGCATCACACCAACAAACCCCTACTAAAACATGTATTTTGAACACTTAGAATGGTACTAAAACTCGAGAAAGGTAATCTGCTTTTATTCCCTAACACGTAGACTATGGTAGTATACACCCTAACCATTGCCTATCTAAAATTCATCAGCATTTATATTCGATAAAGTTTCAGTAACAAAGTCTGTCATAAAGGCTGATTAACAGTGTGGGCTACACATTCTACAATATTGGCAGCACACTTCCAGACAGGAAACAAAATTTGTTGCTACTCTTTTTTATATAACACCTTTCACAGGTAAATTCTGAATTGTAATTCCAAATTCAAGAACGCTGACTGAAGTGAGCAGCAAACTAAAATCATGCTCTTAAAGATCAAATAATAAATTTTTAGTTTACAAATTTATGACTCTGAAATGCTTAAGGAATAAATTAAAACTACCTTATCTGTCTGTCCTGAGTGAATGTAGTCACGGCAGCACTTGGGGTGCTGTTTTGTGGCACACTAGATGGAATCTGGACCATGCTTCCGGCTGCTGGCTGAGAAATCACCATAGTATTATAGAGCGGGGCTGCAAGAGTACTCTGTGTCTGGCTGGGGAGTGATGTTTGTTGACTGTGCCCACTCACTACATTTTGTTGACTCTGCTGGAAAAGAGAAGATTTTATATATAAACTGAAAAATTCGTTTAGAAAGTATGGCGGAGAAAGAAGTAGCAGGACATATCCCTCTGGGAAAACTCTAACTACAAAGGAATGACCTGTAGGAACCAAGAATAAATTAGTCTTCGACCCCTTGATGGAAAGTAAGCTATGAATTTAGAAGAGCATCGTTAACAAAGATGATATAAAGCAGGTGAAAACTCGTGCTACATGCCCAAAGTGAAAAACTAATCCTAGACATTTTTATATATTTCATTGAGGCCATGGGACTTAGATCAAATTTTTTCTGTCATACTGATTGAACCATCATTGCCCCAACAATCTAACTTCACATGGGCTAACCTGTTTCCTGGTCAGCCTCTTTTGCAAGTCATACCTTCTTAACATACAGATGGAGTGTGTATGCTCATTTTAAGCAAATGGCAAAATTTTGTGTCAAAATATTTAGAACATTTAACATTTAAGAGTTTCGCAGAAAACGTTTTTATTATCACTCTCAATTCTGTACTAATTGGTCATTTTTTTTTTTGAATATGGTATTGTTCCAGATAGAACTCCACCTCACTCACTCACTGACATTACCTGACTTGAAGCACTTTGTAAGGTCTGTTGTTGTGTCACATGCTGAGTTGCACCAATGTGTCCAGTATTCATTCCACTCTGAATCTGGTTAGTCTGAACAACCTGACCTTGCATATTTATAGGTGTAAGCTGTTGGATGTTAGATGAATTTCCAGAAGAAAGTTGAACAGAACCAAAATTCAATCCAGGGGCTGACTGTTGTAAAAACATCTTTAAAAATAAAAATTACATTAAGGTGAGCTTTGTAGGTTAAAAACAAAAAAGAATGAAAGCATTAAAAAAGTAAAAACAAGCTACAAATTAAAAAAAAAAATAACAAGACCAATTAACAAGAAATGACTCCTAAATGAAACCTGATCCTTGGTATTTGTTCTCCAGTCTATCATATGTCTAAATGTTAGGAAAAAAACACTATAAATTTCAAAATCTCTACTTGGCTAGCATTTCAGTGGTATGTAAAGACACCTGGGGCAGCTCTGCACCTCATCATTTATAATTTATAGCATTAGAAAGAAGTAGCTTTCACTTCCCCTTTGTTGAAGTTTCTCTTAACAAAGTCCTAAGAGTGGCCTTATTGATTGATCAAGACTCAGTCAAATTACACCTACTAGAATATTTTATTAAATCAGTGATTCATTTACAAGTGCGATGCCAATATGTAGCTAAAAGCTAACAGAAAATACAATTTTTGTAACATGGATCAAGCTTACTAAAAATTAGACTACTAAGAAATAACCAATCTTCAGAAAGGATACTGATGGAATTATGCTTAGAAATGAGTTTTCTTTAAAGATTATTAATGCAAAATACTGAGTAGGCAATGAATATTTATTGAACTAAACTGGTAAAATCTCAAGTCATGTTCATTAAAAAAGTAAAATTGTCTAAGAAACGTAAACAGGAATGGTATGCTTTGTTTATATTCAAATACATAAGTTACCTGGAGCCCTTGACCATGAACCATTTGAAGCTGTTCTTGAATTTTTCTTAGTTCTTCTTGTTGCCGATGAATATTTGCTTCTATCATCCTCGTCCGTTGTTCCAGCTGGTCTTTAAGATGCTGCATGGCTCCTAATTGAGCTGAAAACTGAAACTGAAGTACCGTGTATGGAAAAAGTGTAACATACTTTAGAATTATTTATTCTTCATAGTTGTGCATTGTGAAAAGTAAGCAGTGTATCATGAGCTAAGTAAAATATGTTGCCTCTCAGCCACTAATTCACCCATCTATTGCTTGGCTGTATGATACTGAAACTGGATCCTATATAAACTTCTTTGCAGCATGCACAAATTTAGGAATGTCAGTAGGTGGTGCTCAAGGAGTCCTGCAAAAGGAGGTGCTTATCTTTTTGGTTCTGGTGTTTTTCCTTCTTGCTAGTGGTCACTAGCAATCACAGCAGGTGGCTTTCAAGAAAGTCTCACAATCACCCTAGTGAACAGCTCCCTAACAAATCTTATAGGTACCTCATCAGGTAGCTTCTTGCTTGGCAGCCCTGGACTGTAGCACCTGAGTGAATGTCTCTGTCATCCAGTGGCTACAGCTACATATGCCCATGGGATCTGAATCTCAGCCTGGCCTAGAGGAGGAGGAACTTACGAGGGTGTGAGGTCAATGTACTCTTTCTTGAATACTTTAAATCTGATTTAGGGTTATTTAATAGCTGTTCTCTATACCTGTCATTCCTATATTCTTTAGAATTCTCTTAACTACTTGTAGTAGCAAACCTTTTTACCAGACTATACATTTTACTATTCTCCCTGTTTGAGTTCTATATGGTTTCTGACTTCTGAATGGACCTTGACTGATTCTAAATACAAACTGAAGACCTGAGCTTATACTGTGGTTCTATCACTGCTATAACTTGACTTCATTTCCATCCTCACTGAGGAAAAAATAGCCTGCAGCAAACTATTCACATCAAATTCTGTCATCCTCAGAACATCATTAGAAAGTCACAAAATTTCAGAGATAACCAGTTAAAATACCTCTTTACTCATCTTGTCAACTAAAAGTTTGAAAAGACAAGTATGAAACAGACTTTTAAAGACTAGATAATCACAAGTGAATGAAAGCATATGTGAATGAACAGAGCTATTCATGGGATTTTCAATCATGTGTTTTACTTAAGTCAAAAGCAATTTCTATTTCCTACTCCTTGAAATTTAGCCAAATTTCGTGGCTTACCATTTAAATATATAGAGGCTCATTATTTTCATGAATATTCAGCACAGGATATAGCATAAGAATAGAAAATTTTACTTTATTGGAGCTCTGCCTTGATCTTAAATAATATCCCACAGTGAACTGCATCTTAGAATGAGAAATGTTCTCCCCCCCAAATTTCCTAATTCTATCTTTGAAAAAAGTGTACACAAGAGATAGTGAATACTACTTTTCAAAGTATAAAACTCTGACTTCTGAAGTAGACAATTACTAGATTACAAATTTATACCTCAAGTCCCTCACACCTTTTTTTTTTTTTAAGTATTATCACTCAAAATGTTCAGCATACAAAAGCATATTATCCCAAGTAAAGTTATTTATACTTTTGGGTACAAATAAGAAAACAGATATAAACACAGTCAAAATAACATAAATGAAAGTATTGACGATCACTGAAAGAAATATGAGGTTTGAATACTGATGAACATTTTTAACAGAACAGCTATTACTTATTCCATGAAAATATTCCTTTAAATGTTAAGCAATGCTTATTCCACATTTTAAGCTAACATTGAGTGAACGTCTATAAATGCATACACTGATTCTGTTAACCTACAGATAAACTATTGATAAAAACTGTTGCAACTAAATATTATATTTAATAATATAATGCTGTTATAAACACCTTATATGACCAGACATTGCTAGAATCAAGGTGACATTTAATTTTTAGAATTATCAATATACTTGTAGAGGTATCTTATTATATACTACAAATATATGTAAAATTTAAATAACCATATAAGATAAAGTTATCTTTATCAAATTTTTTTACCTAGTGTTAACCTATCATTATTTGATATTAAGATCCTGATATAGGGGGCCCCTGATGGCACAAGGCGTTAAGTCTCAGCACTATTAAGCTATCACCTGCCACTGCAGCATGATTTAATCCCCAGCCAGGGAGGTAACCTACATAGCACAGCAGACCTTTTCTGTCTCGCCTGCTGCTCCCCTCAGCAGTGTATTTCAGCAGATCTGCCTGTTCTGCTCCCCACTCAGTCTCTGATGAATCCTTTCAACACCCCTCTTCCCAAGCCTTTGGCTTATACCCCAGTTCTTATATGCATAAAAATCAATAAATCTTTTTTTAAAAGATACTGATATATTTGACACCAAAAATCCAGAATATTTTGGATTATTTTGACAAGTATTCAGTAGTATTTTTTTTAAAAGATTTATTTATTTGTGCATACAGAACTGGGGTACAGGCCAGAGGCTCAGGGGCGGTGAGAGGCTTCACCAGAGACAGAGTGGGGAGCAGAACAGGCAGATCTATGAAGTACACTGCTGAGGGGAGCAGCGGGCGGGCCAGGAGAGGTCTGCCACGCCATGTGGTCACCTCCTGGGCAGGCGGGAATCGAACTCATGCAGAAGTGGCTTTAGCTTCTCAGTGCAGTGCTTTAACCCGCTGCGCCACCAGGGAGGGCCCTCAGTAGTATTTTTAATGTGCCTGAATCACCGAAGGGGTACACAGTCATAAATTACAAGTTGGAAAGCTATAATCAAAAGTAACTTAGTCACTTCTGTAATATCTATCCTTGTTTTCTTAATTTTTAAATTTAGGCCTCCTTCAGTCCAAGCAACAATTCTTTTAGAAAACTTTTTCTTCACTTCCTTAGGCTGCATTAAGGGACCATCTAATGTGTTCACATATGAACTTACATGCCTTGAGTGTAGAATACACAATATTACACTGCAGTTATATCATTACCTCTACACTATGTAATTAAGTCTTTTAGTATAGATATTCTTGTATACCTAACAAGTGCGCTATCTGATTGCAGATGACATACAAGGAACCCAATAGATGTCCTTATATGTGATGAGTAACTATTTAAATAAAAATTATTCAATTCTTCCAATATCCTTAACACAACAAAATGAACAGCTGTATTTCATCTTTATTATCTTTCTGCTTCTATATGCGGACAGTATTATAGCATATTAAGCAGGATAATTCTTTGTTGTGTAAGAATGTCAGGCATCTTGAAAGACTGAGTATCCCTGATCCTTACCTATTAAGGGGTCAATGATAACACACAATCACTGATAACCAAAAATATACCTGGATGTTCTAAATGCCTACACTTGAGATTTACTCCATCTATAAGTACATATATGTATTTAAAATCTGTATTCTCTTTAAGAATCTGTATTCGCTCCAATCCAATTTATCATTTAAAAAATCTCAACTGAAACAAACAAACAAAAATACCTGGGACATGCCTTGTGGAATTGGTAAATTTGCAGCTTGAGACATCACTGGCTGAGTTAATGATTGACCAACAGACTGGGAATTTACAGACTAGAAGCAAAGTAAAAAAATATCACTGAAGTGATAATTGATTCCACACATGAGTACTTCAACCAGAAATATAACCATGTACCTTTATCACTGAATCACTATTTGCCACATTCCTTTTTAGTTGAGTACAGGCAAGGCTCCTGCTCTCCATTGGAAATAAATGCCCCTATTTGTATCTTCCAAGTGACCCACCACATTATCTTGAACGGACTCTCAATAAAGATAACTGAACATTCACACATTGAACTCAAGTTGGAAAAGGCAAACCTGGTCCTAAAGGAGAAAACTGACACCCAGGTGCCCCCAGCCTCAGGGCCACCAGGAGGAGGAGTCCATAATATAAAGGAACCAGAAGAATTGAGAAAAATGGTTCATTGGTGGTCTGAGCTTTCAGACTACAAATGATTGTTCAAAAGAACATTTTGAACTTACAGACTATGTGGTAATGGAACTCCCCAAGCAAAACATCCCAGTTTTATGACTTATTCTTGTGCTGAATAGAGCACAAGGAGGATACAGCAAGTGTGCACAACCGCACAAGGTTGGTGTGTGTGCAGTGGGACCAAAGAGATCTATTTCTAGAGAGGATTATGTAAAGCCTGACATCCGTTTAACAGTGAACAAAACTTTTGTTGAAGAAGATACAGAAAAATATAATTTTGGGAGACTGGTTTGACAAGTACAGCAAGACTGAAACTATAGACAAGAAGGCTGGAAAATAGAGAGGATTTGCTTTTCTAACTTTCGTTGATCATGAGACAGTTGACAAAATTGATCAGAAATAGAATGCTATTAATGGGCATGATTGTGAAGTCAAAAAGGTCCTTTCTGAGGAAGAAGTGCAGTCTTCTCAATGCAAACAAGTCACAGCGGTGGATCTGGCACCGCTTCTGGGTCATAGAGGAAATTTTGGAAGTGGTAGAAGTAATTCTGGTCATGGTAGAAACTTTGATGACAGAAGAGGGTATGGTGGTTGAGGTGGTGGCACTGGAGCTACAGAAGAAGTGATATTGGATATAATTGATTTGAAGGTTTTGGTGGTAGCTTTGCTAGTCAGTCCTGGTTAAAGTACTAGAAGAAGCTATGGTGGTGGGCAGGACATGGAAACTAAGGTGGTAAATATGGTGGCAGTGGTGGTGAACATAATGGTTAACAATGGCGGTGATGTTGGTAGCATGAACTGTGAAGGTGGTGGAAACTACAATGATTTTGGAAATACAGTGAACAACAGCAATCAAATTATGTACCCACAAAGGTGAACAGGTGAAAGAAGCTCAGGTGAAAGAACCTATAGTGGTTTATGGATCTGGAGATACAGTGGCTGTGGTAGCAGAAGGCTCTAAAACTTCAGCAGAAAAGGGTTACAGTTCTCAGTAGGGGAGTAAATAAGGAGTTGTCAGGAAAGCTGCATGTTACTTTGAGGCCGCTATCCCAAATCCATTAGAGGAACTCAAACTCTGTCACAGAACTCTGACAGTCAGAAAGTTGCTGTAGCTTAAGAAGGAAAACTTATGTATAGGCCTGTCACAGCCACAGTTGGCAAAAAGTGAGGCTATTGATTAGAGCAATAGATGTAATATCAATGAGATAGCTATTCCTGAAGTCTTTAATCTGGTGTAACTTTATCTTCCTTTTCATTACACTGGGTACACTGCCCTGTAAATTGTAGTAATGGTACCAGAAATAAAAATCCAAGGAATTTTTAATTTAAAAAAAAAAAAGATGATTGGAATTAAATGAAGTTGTTGGCATTTAAACTTAGTTATAAGACAGTTATAAATTATCAGCTTTTCATTGTATAGCCAATATTTTACCTGAGGAAATAATTAAAAGCCTTGATATATTTGATCTTTATAAAGTGATAATGAATTTCTAAAGATTTTTTTTAAATAAATGTTTATTTAAAAAAAAAAAAAGTAAAACAAAGTCTTTATTCAGAAGAATATTAACCAAAGAGCTTACCTGACTACTAAATGATGACCTCCTTTGTGCCATCTTTTCATGAGTTGGTAAATGCTGTCTGGGAGGAGTGCTATTATCTGTTGTGATCTTTGTTGGTGTTGCTGAGATTAGTCAACAAAAACAATGGCATAAGTACTTTTTAAAAAACTGTTTTCAAAGATTAAACTCAAAAGACACTTTAGAAATAAAAACTGTCATAACCTGATAGTATAAATATAATAACTCAGTTAAAAGTGGTGATAGGGTTGAATAAAACACTTATCCAAAGAAGACGTAGAAGCACACAAGTTCTGAAATTGTCCATATGAAAAATTATTCAACATCAAGACCATCGAAAAATGCCTAACAAAACCACAATGTGGTATCACCTCACACCTATCAGGATGGCTATTCAAAAAGACAACAAGTGTGGGCAAGAATGTGGAGAAACTGGTGTGCAATGCTGATGAAGATACAAATAGTGTAGCCACTATGGAAATAGTACAGAGGTTTCCAAAAAAAGTAGAGCTACTGTGTATGCTCTAGCTTCTAGATACCTGTCCACTTCTAGATATATGTCCACAAGAACCAGGATCTTGAAGAGATATTTGCTCTCCATGTTCACTACAGCTTTATTTATAAAAGTCAAACATTGACAGGAGTATAGACTAACAAAATTTAGTATATACATGCCATGGCATACTATTCAACCCAAAAAAATGAAATATTGCCATATGTGACAACACAGATGAACTTTGAGGACAATATGTTAAGAGAACTAAGTCAATGACAGAAAGACAGAAAGAAGCATAGTGCATGACTCCAGTTACACAAAGATATCTAAAGCAGATAAATTCATTGAATCAAAGAACAGGATTGTAAATACAAGGGGTGGGGCAAGAAATGAGTAGGCAGCAAAGTTCCAGCTAAGCACAACATCATGCTCTGACAATGCTCTGGAGATGTGCACTACAACATTGTACGCAATCAACAGTAACATATTGTACACTTAAAGATTTAAGAAGGTAGATCTCATTTTAAATAGCCTTACCACAATAAAATAAAATTTCAAAAGGAAATAGTTATGAAGGGGAAATTTTTTCCTGAGACAGAATCTTTCTGTTGTTCTCCCTATAGTGTTGAATGGTTCACCATAACCCATTTTTTCTTTACTATAGTTCTACAATTCTCAAAATCAAGTATATGAATGTCTTTTTTTAAAGTACTAATTTAATGGTAATTATGTAAGTCTCCATAAAGACACACCCAAAAAAAAAAAACCCTCACAAAGCAAATTTAAAGCACAATTATTAGCTTTACCAATAAAAAAAAGTTTTGCTATCTTTTTGAGGTATTAAAAACAACTTAAAACAATACCAATATAATTACCTACATATTTTATAGGCTACTTCATATACTTAATAAATTTAGCTTGGCTAACTATGAACAATGTACCTTTTACTGGGGAAGTTAATTTTTCAGAAAAGCAAAAATGTACTTTAAAGTAGCATTTCATCAAGAAGCTGATACCAGTAGCACAAATCATTTAGAAGCACTCTTAGAGGATGTCTGATTTCCAACTAGGATACTCACAGGAAGGGTCTGAGACTGCTGTGTGAGATGATTTTCTTGAACTCCGGGAGGAAGCAGAAGGTGTTGGGCTGTGATCAAACCTTTCCAATGCTTCCTTGAGACTGACTGTGTTTATTCGATTATCAGACCCAGAATCTTGGCTCTATGGAAGACAGAATAAAATACAAATTTTCTTGTGGTTTAATTTAGAGAATCCAATCAGTATCTGACAATGCTAGATTTCCCCAACAACCCCTCTCCAACCTTTACTCATAATGAGGCAAAGACACCTGTACATATATTAGTAAAGAAGTAAAATTTTAATTTATGGCCACACGTTTTTGGTTTCATTCTTTAATAAAGAAGCAACAGATACAAAAGAATGAAGTTAGAATCTTACCTTGCAGCATGTACAAAAATTAACTCTAAATGGGTCAAAGAACTAAGCATAAGTGTTAAAAAAATAAAACCTCTAGAAGAAAAGAGGAAAAGCTCTTATGACTTTGAGTTGGGCAATGATTTCTTGGATATGTGACACTAAAAGATAAGGCAAAAACAGACGAACCAAAGTAGCATTAATAAAAATTAAAAATTTTTAAGCATCAAAGGACACTATAAACAGTATAAATATAATAACTCAGCATATTATATTTATAAATATATATATATATATATTTACAGCAACCAATGGAATGGGAGAAAACATCTGCAAATCTTATGTATGAGAATTAACACCTAGAGCATGTAAAGAATTCCTAGAACTCAGCAGCAACAATAATGCAACTAAAAAAATGGACAAAAGTCTTACATAAGCATTTCTCCAAAGTGACAGAAATGGCCAAAAAATATATGAAAAGATGTTCAGTATCATTAGGAAAATGCAAATCAACACTTAACAAGATACTACTACTTCACACCCAACAGGAGGTATTGGCTCTTGGAAAAATTGGCACCTGGGCACTGCTGATAGGAACATAAAATACTGAATGCATTATGGAAAACAGTATTATGGGGAAAAGGTAAAAAAATGAAACACAGAATCACTATGATCCAACTAGTCCGTGTTTTGGGTATATATTCAAAAGAATTGAAAGCAAGGATTCAAAGAGAACACTGACATTTATCGCTGTATTATTCTCAGCAGCTAAAAGGTGAATGCAATCAAGTGTCCTTCAACAGACAAAGAGATAAGCAAAATATATACACAATGGTGTGTTATATGCCACCTTAGAAAGGAAGGAAATTCTATTACATGATACAACATGATGAACCTTAGGACAATAATGCCAAGTAAAAATGCCAGTCACAAAAGGACATAATGCATAATTCCATTTCTATTTGGTACCTATAAAGTCAAAGTCACAGCGACAGAAAAACAGAGTGACAGCTGCCAGGGACTAGAAGAGGAGGGCATCAGCAGTTACAGTTTAATGGGTACAAACTGTCATTTGGGAAGATGAAAACTTTCATGATGGATGGTAGTGATGGCTGCGTGACAGTGTGAATGTATTTAAAGCCTCTGGATGCTTAAATTGACTAAAATGTTAACTTTCATATTATGTATATATTACACTTTAAAAATATACAAAAAAAAAAAAACAAGAGAAACAAAGATGACACTTTAAAGACAAGGTATTATAAGCAGCTTTGAAATTTGGCACTGAACTGCTTAAAATCATTCTCGTCACTCAAGCTGCCCTTTTTCTTGAATTCCATTATATATGTGGATGAGGAGCATCCAATCCTGACTCTTACCCTTCTAAGAACTCATCTCCAATGACATTTTCCTCCACTCTACCTCAGACATTCAATGTCTACCCCCTGCAATTACCAGACAATGTAGCATCACTAAAAGTACAAATAAAACCCCACTTCATTTTTTACATAGTGAAAAATAATTGATGCACTGGGAAGGCCATGAAACAGTGATGTGACTGTTTTTAGTTCCAGGAGAGAAACTTTGAAAATCCCCCATAATTAACTGGAAGTTTTGTTAAAATTATTTTTTCTTTAATTGAGCTAACATAGGTTTACATTATTGTTGGTATTTTGGAAGTATAGGATCCTCCCACCCTGACTCAGGTATACCACAGTAGTACATTTGCCACCAAATCACCCATTGTCCACCACCAAAGTCCACTGCGCTCCCTTGTGCCTCTTTGTTCTCATCCCTCCCTCTCCTTGCCCTGCTTCTGTAATAATCCCATTTGATTCCCTCCTGTCCTTCTAGGCCACTTATTCAAATGTTCCTTTATTAAGAATTACATTCAACTTAAAATAATCAATTTAAAATGGAAACTGTACTAGCTAGAAATGTGCAGTTTTTCTGGTGATTTCACTTTCCTACTGTTCGTAATTACACCATACTTTTCTATTACTCCTAAAAACTCTGTCTTCCTTGATCTCAGATGATAAATTTGCCGTACACAGATAAGAACACTTGCCATATTACCTGCTAATATACCAGGTATACAACCTACCCATTTCTCTCTCTTTTTCTCCTTGTAAGAGAGGGAAGTATCCTCTATCCACTATCAGAGGACAGTGACCCTCAAATGCAGCAGTGAAGATAAAATAAGTCCCTGTTCTCATCACTCTCTCTCTTTTATAATGTTTTATAAAGAAGCTCAACAGAATGGGGAACTTATCCATATCCAAATACACATACACATAGAAACAACATGACTTCAAAGTTACTCATACCAGAAAGAAATAAAGGTGCTATGTCACATACCTCACACCTCAACTTCTGCATTCTAAATTGCTCCTCTTTTTTGTCCCCATCTCTACTTCTTGCTGCATACCTTCTGAAATCCTTCTTGTCTCCAATGTCCATACTCAGCAAAGTTTTCTGGATTCTCAACCTTATCTCGGAACACTCTCCCTTAGCTTGCTCCAAATAAAGTAAAACCCAGATGTCACCAAAGGACAACACTTTCCTTGTTAACCTCAAGAGATGGATGTTCTCTCTCACAACTCTCAAATCACTACTCTAGAGATAGAGATCCTGCTCCTACTTCCAGAACATTTTCCCTTTTTCCTTTGCCAAAAGTCACAGCTTTGACTTACTGTATAATTATTTCTCATTGTTGTAGTCACCTACCGACCTTGTGGTAATTCATTAATTTTTTATTTTATTTCTTTTATTTACTTTTAATTCAAAAACACCAGGTTCCAGCTCAGAATTAACCTAATTTTTTAATACCCAGGATATATTAATAGGCACATATCAACATATGACTTATCTCTTCTCCCTAAATATTTTCTACCCCAAAGATCTTGAGTTCCACCAGTCTTCAATCACTCTTATGGTCATACTCTATTACTATCATAAATTGTCATTACCAATTTACCTGTGTGTGTGTGTGTGTGCATAAAATTATATAATCCTTCATCATCTCAAATTCAAATATCGTACTCTTTGATAACCATCTCCTGTATTTTCTACTGATTCCCTTTAGAAGTTTAAAATTTATGTTTCTGCTATACTTTCGCAGTCACTCATTTCATGTCTTTTCTTAACCAGTTGAAATTCATGACTAATCATCACAATCACCCCCTTGGTATATCATCAACTTCCTTACCTCTCACCACACTTCCATGTAAAATTCCAAGTGCCACTTAAATCCAAATTTTATACTTCACATCTATTCCTGAACAGCTGAACATGGATGAAGAAACACAACATTCTGACTTTAAATGAATGTCTATAAATGGACTCTCAATCCTGCCAAACACGCAAAAATTCCTTCATCCATTAACTTTCCAACTCTCCTAGGCCATTATTGAACACTTTTCCCATCTTTTCCATCCTCCATCAGCTCCTCTTCTAATCTCATTCTGAGGTGGTTGCCATGTTTCCTATTTGACTGAACTGCGATAGGCCCCCACTGCTATAGTTCAATCTGTATTCACATTCTCTATCTTTCTTCATGTTACTATAGGTCAGGGATCATCAAAATTTTTCTGCAAAAGTCAGAAAGTCAGTATTTTATGCTTTGAGAGCCATACAGTCTCTGTTATTATTGCAACTACTATTGTAGTAAAAAGCATCCACAGGAAATTTATAAATAGTTCAGGGTAAAAGTGGAATTTAGTGATATTTTCATGTATCACAAATCACTATTTTGATCTTTTCAATCAATTAAGACATATAAAACACACATAGGAGGCTGGATTTAATGTATAGGCCAGTTTGCCAATCCCTTCTATAGTTAAATCTGTCCCCCTCAGAGAGTCCTTCACTATGGTCTCTTGGTCTCCTCTATGACTGGTTCTCCCTTATCTCCCTCACCTCTTAATGTTGGGTGTCCCAGTTCTTGGTCATTTTCTCTGTCTACATCTGAGCCTTTGGTGATTCATTTCTTAAAAATTCTTCACAAATGGACCTCTTCCCTAAGCTCCAGTGGATCATCATGGCAGTGGGAACTTGGTGAGAAGTGGACCTATTTAAAGCATATTTTGGAAGTAGGTCTAGTTGGATTTACTAGGATTGGATACTGGCATGAGGGAAAAAGAAGGAAGGAGGAACAAGCTTTATGCTACTTCAATTTCTATAATGGCCCTCCTTTCAAGGAACCCTGTACTTTAAACACTTTTTTTCAGAAATCTTCTTTAAAAAACATATTGGATTAGCCTCTTCTAAGCATACAAAGATACTGAAAAAGTTCTCTCATATAGAAACCAAAAGAGCAGAAAACCTGTCTGTCATCCAGTGCTGTATTCTCAGTATTTAGGGCCATCTCAAGTACTTCCTGGCATATGGGTGGTATTTAATAAGGTTTGTTGAATTGACAGAATGATATCCTCCATATTTTCCCCAGGTATGCTGCCTTATGTAACTCACATTTTATAAAGAGTCTTGATTCCCTTCATTTCACTTATTTTCTACAAGTCAAAAATGCCCATGGTGGGCAACTTCTAATGATATCTGTGCTCTTATATTAACCCTCTCCTTGAGCATAGGCTGGACCTAGTGACTTGTTTCTAATGAACAGAACAGACAAAAGTGGTGAGATATCACTCAAGACTGTCATCTTGCTGTTTTTTCCTTTCCCTGGAGCTTCTTATATAGCTGTACTGAAGGAAAGGACCAACTAGAAAGAGACTGTGGTCTCTGATAATCACCCAGCAAGAAACCAATGCTCTTAGTTCAAATGTCCACAAGGACAACCAGAATGAGCTTGGAAATAGACTCTGTCCTTAAGAACCTTAAGATGACTGACACCAGCAACACCTTGACAGCTTTGTGAGAACCCGGGGATGGCACTCTGAATGCAGCCTCATGGCCAGTGTTGAGCAGAGTCTGATGCGAAAGTCCAATTAAACTGTGCCAAGATTCTTTGCCCGCAAAAACAATGCAATAATATGTGTGTGTTGCTTTGTATCATTAAGTTTAGGAGTAATTTGTTGCACAGCAGTAACTAGCATACTGCACTTCTACTTTTTTTTTTCACGTGAAAAGTACAGTTGTTTATTCCTATTATTTTTTTATTACAAAAGTTTATTTTTACATCATTTTGTACATTTTTTTTTTCCATCTCAATTGTAATCCCCACAGGTTTCCCATCACCAAGTCGCCCGTGTGCCATCACCATAATTCCGACTGCACTTCTACTTTTAAGGAGAAACCAGAGTTCAAATTCTGACTACAACTTCCCAGCCACATGTCTTCAGAGGAAGTTTTTGTCTCCCCTCCCCCTAAGTCTATTTTCAATATTTTCTAAGTGTGGGTATTACCTCCCAGATAAAGATGTATGAAGAATAAATAACATTTTCTAAGTCATACAAAGAAACTAGCCAGAGCTTAGCACAACATAGGCAGTGAGTAAGTGGCAGGTTAACTGAGATCATGTATGCTTTTTATCCAATTATTACTAAGCAGCAGGCCTTCTGACTCCTTTTTAAAAGCAGATAGTTTTTAAAATCTTAAATTTAAAATAAAAATTTAAGTAGTATAATTATAACCCTGTCACAAGTTAGGAAATTAAATACTTGAAAAATGATTTGCCTATAAATTATTGGTTTTCTTTATCACTTGGGGGGGGAAAATGAAGCAATTTTTAGAAAAACTGTAGGATATATACTTTGTCAGCAGCTGTCTCAGGAAGAGACTCTTCAATGCCAAGTTCTCGTCGTCTTTCAGCACGAACTTCTGCATAACTATGATTGGGGGAAAAAAAACAGAATTTAGTGTTTGATCATTCATTTAAAATACTGCATAGGGATAACCACTCAGTGTCTGTTACATGTCTTACTTTTTCATCACTGATACCAGACAATGTTCTAGATAGTAGAAAAACTTATCCGTAGTATGCTCTGTCCTAAATAGATTGCATTTTTCAATATCTGAAAGTTATTTTTTAAAGATTTATTTTTATTTATTTACGCATACAAGGACTGGGGTGTGGACCAGAGGTATGGGGGCATGAGAGGATTCACCAGAAATAGAGTGGGGATCAAACAGGTGGGTGTACTGAAGTACACTGCAGAGGGAAGCAGCAAGTGAGACAGGGGAGGTCTGCTGTGCCATGTGGTTAGCTCCCTGGTTGGGGATTGAACTCATGCTTGTAGGGGCTGGCAACAGTTTAATAGTGATGAGACTTTAACCCCTGTGCCACCAGGGAGTCCTTAAATCTGAAATTTTTGATGTAAGTTGAAAGGAAATTCAGCTAAGGAAGAACAGATTTATCTACTCCAGTACATAAATGAGTTATTAAAATGAAATTTATGCCAAAATTATATGCTTATTTAATATCTATGTATTTCTGTATGATGCCTGCAAATAAAATTTAATGTATTAAAATGGGAAAATCATTTTGTAATTCATTAACAAGTCACACATACAAATTATACTGATAATATTATAGATGATTGTATAATTTAGAACTTCTATAAAAGAACTGTTACCTTACTACAGTGTGAGTACAAACAATAAACTCTGGTCTTGAATTCCACTGATGATAAGTGATATAATAATGAGTTTGAAGCCAAATCCACTGTTGTCCTTTGGTCAGGAACCTGTAGTAACATGATTTGCCTTTCCCATATTGCATTACTAAGAAGAAAAGAGAAAAATACTTTGACTCTGTTGTTAGTTTTGAATAATTTTTTAGCCAAAGCTATTTATATTTAAATCTATATATACAATTTTTTCTTCTGGATTTTCAAATAACATTATCAATTATAAGAAAAGCAATTAAAAGATCTCCCACAGTACCTAACTTATAGTGCATTATACCAACTTTACATGCTTTTCATACATAATAAATTGCCAAATACTCACAAATAAATGACTCACATTATTGCCAAAATGTACTGAGCAGAACAACAATTAGTAATCACACCTGTTTTTCCCCACAGGAATCCTGGGCAGATGCAGCTTTCTTGGAGCATTTAATTCTAACTCACAACTAACCCAAAATCAGACTAACTTAATTGTTTAAGTAACTGATATAGGCAGTGTTTCCCAAAACAGGCTCTGTTGATTGCAAGCTCTGAAGTCTTTTAATAGGAATTAAGCAAAAAGTGGGTCATGAAATTAAGTTTGGGAGACTTTGCTAAATAGGATTAAGTAGTATTCCCCAAATCTTGAGTATTCCAATGTATGTCAAGATTCTTGAGGGACTCAGGGTTTGATTATGGAGTATTTCCCAGTCGTCCTTAACCACAAAATCTTTTTAAATGGACCGGTATTCATTGAAACAAACCTTAGGAAATGCTGGTTAGGTCTCGGTCTTTTTGTCTCTCTCTGTCTCATGCTTTCAATGAGGAAGTCAAAATGTACACACTTGAAATTGCTTGTCCAAAATTACTTGTTAGTTAATAAAAGTATCAGATCTTTTCAATATATAATGGAGCATAATGTCCATATCACTAATGTTTTCTTTTGTAATGAAATGTCTTTACTCTGAAAATTTTCTGTACCATTGATGCTATTACACAACACAATTGATTTTCATATGAAGAAATTTACAGGCCAGTCTAAGACATAAAGTATCTTAAATATCTAATTACACTTTAGAGGAAGCCCAAGAGGGTGGGATTTTGGGATATCACAGTAGTAAATAAAACCTGTTACTAAAACAAATCTCTGAAACAAAGAATGAATAGTATGTCTTGTATAAGGATAGGCACAGAGTAATCCTTTCTCAGCCACCAATAAGTATGGGATTAAAAGTAAATTATTTAGCCTTGTTGTGTCTCAGTTTACTCATGGAGACAATAATAATATACTGTCTAGTACTGTGATGATTAATAATGTACACACTATATGTAAATTGTTTAGAATAGTGCCTGGCACAATATGAGAAAGCTTCTGTCACTATAACTTTAAAGGTAAGTAATATTATTATGCAATACTATGAGCTTTCTGAAAGAGCCTTTAAATGTGCTTTTAGGCAGATTTACATGCCTGGAAATCAAAAGTTATGAAACAGTATTCTAAGAGTTTGATACATTATTATAATTTTCAAAGGAATCTACCTTATTCCAGATGCAGAACTTAAAACAATTCAGAACAATATTTATCAGATGCCATATTATAAACTGTACTAACTACTACAAACTAAAATTTGTAAAGTAGAGATAAGTGTAATTTAAATTTATCTATGATTCCTACTGGATTGTTTTTATATAGAGAGAAAAATCTTCCAGTATGTCTAAAAACACAAAAGTGGTTATAAGCCTGTATTTACCGATTTCTACTAATACAATTGTGTTTATATGATTAGGAAACAATTATCAGTGGAAATATTAAAATCTACTTACAGTGCTCATGACATTTTGCCAAATTTTCTAGGTCATCCACATGATAGTAATCATAGCCTGATGTTCCCAGAACTTCAAATGGCAAATATCCTATTATGGGAGGTGCCCTAAATTACATATAAGACAATCAATATTATAATGCTTTCCATAATAAGAAACACTGCAACTAGAAATCAATTTGGGGGGAACCTTCAATTTTTTCAATGACTAGTTAATAGATGTGAATATCCTGATTTTTAACATTTGTCCCTGAAATCCATCTACTTTCAAGATTTGTATAATGGATAAAATTTGCAAATTATAATTTATATAATATGAACCTATAGGAATGGCTGAGTTACCTGTGATCTAGAAATAGGAACTTCCATTCTAAACTATGTCTAGATGTAAACTCTTCATTAGGTTCTTCAACAGTGCACATTTCCTACAAACAAACAAGTTAATGATTAAAAATAATTAAATTTAGAAACACTCTTATGTGTTCTTAGAGAATTCTAAATACTATAAGATACAAATGTCACTATTAGAAAACTTATCCTAAATAACTTTTACACATTTTAAATTTTCTGGTACTAAAGAATGTAAAAATAACTTTTACATGCAAACTTTAGAATAGAAAGTGAGAGGTAGAATGTTTCTCAATTGATACACATTTCTTCATTCACTCACATGTCTACAAACTCTGAATTCAAATCTCCCACCTGAATTACAATTCTGTATTTCTGTCTGGGTATTTCATAACACATAAAAACATGTGCCAGTGTCATGAAAATGACACTTACTCCCCATACCCAGTTATACAATTTTCTGTCTCAGTAATGGAGGCATGCCTATGTTGTAACATTAGACTAGAAATCTGATAGTCACATTTTCCTTTCCACATGTAATCTTTCATTTACATGTAGATGGTTACTACTGAATCCTTTCAATTCTACCACATGTTTTTTAAACACTTTCATGATCCCCTTCATCTGAAGTGTTTTAGGTTCTAGATTTATGCCAACAATGAATCACATTATTGCCAAAGCAACTCCCAAACAAGTTCCTTGTCCTTCAACTCACCATTTATTCTGATTTTTTTATATTCAAGTATGATTATGTAATTTCCTATTTAAGGACCTTAACTAAACTGCTGGCTTTGGGGCAAAAGAATGAACCTCATGGTGAAATAAGTGAAAGAAGTCAGAATGTGATGAATAGCTATCAGATGGTTTCACTCATTGCAGAATATAAGTAACCAAAAAAAAAAAAAAAAATACACCAGCAAAATACAGTAGTAATAAATCGTGAACTCAGGGAAAGACTTTCACGATTACCAGAGGGAACAGGCAGAACCGAGAAGGCGGGTGAAAGAGGAAGGCAGAGGGGATACTGGCACAGGTGGGTTGGTAGAGAGTGAGTGGAACATGTACTCATATGGAAAAGAAAAAATGTGACTGACCCAGAAATTAGAATTTTTTTTTAATTTTAAAAACACCTTAATAGCTACTCAGTATTGGGATAAAGTTTAAACTCTGCAGCATGAAGAAAGAACAGCAAAGAAAAACAATTTTCAGCCCTGTATTCTGCTTACTTTTCTAATCTCATCAACATTTCATCTCATCTCCTTATCCCCTCCCACTCGCAGTGACCCGAGATGCTGGTCATACACAGTTATGTATTCCAACTTGCCTCTGTGTCCTTGAATGACCTGTAGCACAATGCAGTGATTAAAAGCTTTGTCTTTGAGAGAAAAAAATGTAGAATCAAATCCCAGTAGTTTTCAGCCCTTGATAGGTAAGACTTTGGGGCAAGTAAGTTTAACTTCCCCAAAGCCTCAGTTTCCTCACATGTAAGGTGGGGATCTTATTAGCATCTCATAGGGCTGCTATAAGAATAAAATGAGATCATGCATGTGAAAGTATACAGCATGTAATAAGTACTCTATAAATGTTAGCTATTATTTCCTAAGATCAAAAGAAGCAGAGCAAGACCTGTTTAATATCTTTGCTAAATTCGAAACTGTGGTCTACACTATGATTTCTCCATAAACTGAAAATCTTAGTCTAAGTTTATTTCCAGTTATGCTGTAGTAGTTGAATTATTTTACTTTCTTTATAATCATTTGTTTGTTGGGCTAAGAAAAGGAAGATATTTAATTAAATTTTAAAATTGAAAAAGTAAATTATATGCAATAAAAAAGCCGCTTGTACACCTCAAAAACTGTCTTTTTAACGTTACTTATTTTTTAACTTTCCCCTTTAACTCAGATAGTGAGCTATAGAAAAAAGCATCCTAAAATTCTGCACCAAAATGGGAAAATGCTCATTTATAATCACTGTTAAATGCAAAGGACATACATAAGAAAAATAGTTAGAAAAATGAAATCAGAAACATACCTTGATGAACTGAGGTGTAGCCAATCTAACAGTAGCTACAAAACAAACCCTGTCTTCATAAGAAGGCCTGTGTGTGCGTTGTATAGTTCCTTCAAAACCATTGTGCGCTGAAGTGGACACTAAAACAATAAGAAATAAATATTCATTTTCTGCTCCTCTTGTAAAGCCTACTGTTTCCTATGTTTAAATATCTATTTCTTTCAAAAGTTAAAAAATATATACCACATTAAAATATACTACAATAGAAGCATTTTAACTCACCACTATTTAATGATTTGAAATTTCCTATAAATTTCACATATTCATAGGTAGATGGTTCCTTTGGGTCTATTGTTCCTCGAAGCATATGACAACAGAATTCTAGCTGATTTTTTGCTGAAGAGAAAAAAAAACATTTTTGTGAAACATCATATAAAAAAAATTTATAAATGTTGTCTAAGTTAACAATCATTACTTTCTCCAACAGCACTTCCTCAGTTAACTTTTCTAAGTCCATGAAAACAGAGTACCTTTTAGGAGATGATTTCATCTTGTGCTTACAGAGAAAATAGATATGAACAATTCCATGTTTCTCATTTTCTACCTGCCCTTCCTTCTCATTCTCTATTCTCATTTCAGAGAAAGGTTTGCTTCCCATTCTAAAGCCAATGTTTCTGTCTCTGCTGTGAACAGTCATTCCTATCCTATCCGGGACTAGGGCACACCATTGTTATGTCATCCGTTAGCAGCCACGTGTTCTTTAGGTCCTTACATTCTACTTTAAAATTTGTTTATGTCTTTTGAATAAGATGGAAGCAGAGTTTTTTTCATGGAACTCTTCCTGTTACCATAGATTACCGTCCTTTGCATTATATTCTTCAGTTTCAATATATTCATTTCCTTGTTAGAGGAAATCAAGCACTGTAGTTTCCATTCTTGAATTCTACTGAAACTGCTCTTCTAAAGATTACCCATATTAATACAGCAGGTCCGTGACCAAGGCCTTTCCTTCAACATTAATTCACAGAAAGCTGTCACTTAAGCACAGAAAGTACAAAGGCCACTTGTGGCACTACTCTCAGAACTGTTACTATCATCAGGTAATTCAACAGGTTCAAAATTTAGCTGTCTTCTTAAAAACCCTAGCCACCTGATCACATGTGCCCAACACGAAGGTCTACCAAGTCTATCCGCTCAATACTTAGATGCATGCTTTCCTCTCAATCCAAACTCGTCCTTTCCAAAAACTACCCAAAATTCCTTTCACTGGTTCCCTATTATATAAAACCTAAAAATCAATTCCCTACAACAAAATATTAGGTCATTTATAATCCTGCCTGTATTTTCCAAGCAATTCCCCATTGTTTTAAGTCATATTTATTGCCCATTTGGCATAAAACACTTCGAGGGGTAGGGAGAGTAGAAACTTTTTTTTGTATGTCGGTTGTTTATAGAGTCCAGCAAGTCATTTAATTAAGGTTTTCCTCTAACAATAAAAATATTGTTGCTATCCTCACCTCTGACCTTGAAAGCACAGGTCTAAGGTCTTTTTGCCAGAAGCTTTCATTCAGTTCTCTGGTCAATTCTGCCCTCATGAAGGTTCCTACAGCAGGCTCCTTCTCCTTATTGGTTCATTTTTCTAGTTCTCTCTTGGTTCTATAAATTTACCTCATGAAATGTCATTTAATCCATAACTTCCAATACTATTTCTGTATATACTTGGCCTCTACATTATTGTATCCAACTTTAGTGCTTCTCCCATGTGAAAGACTAAAGTGAACATCAGTCAATGTCATGTCATAAGAAGCATATTTTTAAACTAATATAAATAGATGTCAAATGAATCCTCCTGGTCTCTGGTTCTTCTCAGCTTCTGAAAGGTTCAAATCCATTTTTTGTTTTTTTCCCCCTCCTTAAAAAAATCAAGTGCTGAGACCTCCCTGGTGACGCAGAGGGTTAAAGCACAGCACTAAGAAGCTTAAGCCACTTCCGCATGAGTTCGATTGCGGCCCGCTGCTCCCCTCAGCAGTGTACTTCATCTATCTGCCTGTTCTGCTCCCCGCTTTGTCTCTAGTGAATCCTCTCACCCTCTGCATCTCTGGCCTGTACCCCAGTTCCATATGGATAAATAAATAAATCTTAAAAAAAAAAATCAAGTGCTGACTTTCCATCTGAAGTCAACTACATGACATAAACTTCATTGGTTTTGGGATTATACCTTAAACTAGAATTCTCTGACAATATTCCAGGGTTAACATCAGGTAAGTTCAAAGGAAATGAACTCTAAATCTTTAGAAATTCAGAACTCAACCCCTATGCCAAGAATTAAAAAGAAAATAAACAATTGGGATAACAACAAGTTAAAGGGTTTCTATGGAGCAAAAGAAAATATAAGAGGATTAAACACTCTATTGAATGGAAGAAAGTATTTACATAACATAACTGGTTAAAGGATTAATAGCCAACATACATAAAAACTCATAATCAATAACAGCCATATAACCCAATTAACAAATTCTTTGAACAGTTAGTGTGCTGCAGAATTTGAGGGTTTGAAATACAAAAAACCTTTAAAATGATTCATGTCAATAATTACAAGAAAAGTCAGAATTTAAAAATCCTGGAAAAAGTGATTAAAGAAGATATCTAAAAACTAATGGTCAAATAGTATAATAATTTTAGGTTTTACACAAAGTAATTTAGTGAAGAAAACGTGCTCTGGGCAACTAATTTATCCAATCAATCAAGGAAAAATGTTTTGAGTATACCATAATATTTTATACATCTTAAAGTGCAGAGACTGTTTTTCACTATTCTTGGCACTTTTACATCACAGCACAAGTGTCTGGTACATTAGCTATAGCCCAACAATTATTAATTCTGTCTAATAAAGTTAAAAATTTCTTCTAGCTAATAATTATGTTGCTAAGGTAATATTGGCTTACAATAGAAATTGTTTTTTTTTCCCCTAGTTTCAGTGTGAAACTAGATGGTGAAAATAAGAATATTCAGTTTTCTCTCATTCAATACAGTAAGATCTTGTTTAAGAATGAATTAAGACTATATGCCAAGTTCCATTTTAATACAAAATACATTTCTATATCATAACTACTGTAATAAAAAGGTAGGATTTCAATATACTCTGGGATAGAATTCAGACCTTTAATATGGTTATAACTCTATTACATACATATTTTTAGTATTTAAAAAGTACGGTATATAGAATGGTGCTGTTTTAATTTGGTTCAGCATATCTAGCCTGTCACAAACTTACAAAAGTTAAGGATGGTGGTATCAAATATAATATTTAACTTATTTTTAAAATGTACAACTTACATTTTAAATATTCAGGAGTTAATGAATCACTTCCCAGCAGATGGGTAGAGAGTATTTTATAAATTTCTGAATGTTCCCCCTCTGGGATAAAATTAAATATACTTTGATCCACAAGATCAGACTGAAAAAGAAATTAAAACATTTTTAATAACTTAAGATTTATTTTAAAGGTATATAATCATTTAAATATCAGATAAGCATGCAGTTATCAGCTTTTATTATCTATAAAAACTTACAAATGCCAACTGACAGAGCACAACTCAAAAATATTAGATTGAAAAAAAGGTTCACATAATCTCCATGCCCCTGATACCAGTGTAAACAGACCCATGAGCTATATTAACTAGAAAATCTGATAAATTCCTTGCAAAGCTGGGTTTCATCCAATTTGAACATTTAAAAATATCACAGGATGAGAAAAGTTGATTAAGAAAATCTTTGACTATTGGGCCTCCTTGGTGACACAAGTATTAAAGTCTCAGTGCTATCAGCTATCACCAGTCACTGCTGCATGAGTTCGATCCCCCACCATGGAGCTAACCCACATGGTGCAGCAGACCTTTCCTGTCTCACCCACTGTTCACCTCAGCAGAATATTGCAGTAGATCCAAATGTTATGCTCTCCACTCTGTCTCTGGTGAATTCTTTCATCAACCAATCCCCATACCCCGCACCTCTGGCCTATACCCTATTCTATGCATAAGTAAATAAAAGAAATAAATGACAATCCAACTTTAAAAAAATCTTTGGCTACATATGTAGCCTTACCATATATTCAAACCTCTGGTAAGCTATGGTGTTGCACAATGTAACAAAGCACCAGTAACAGGCTAAATGAAAAGATTGTTTTTTAGTGTCATGTAAAATGTCTTTGGTGTCATATCTTTCTTTTATCTTTTACAGGCATCTATCCTGTATCCCAAAGTCAACAAGCCTTGCTTTAGCTAAAAACAGCAACAACAAAAAAAGTTTAAAAAAAAAAGGCAAATAATATATTACTTAATATATTATTTATTGCTAAATGTGGTTTTAATTATGATTTATAAATGAACAATTACTTGACCAACATCATGCTGCTGGCCTATAATGGGCCATGACTATGGAATCAAGGATGGGACAGGTCCCATCCTTAAGAACCACTGACAATAACTCAATAACTTTAGAGCCTTTAGATTTCCAACCAAATTCAGCCTGTCTTACACGTATCTGGCTTCTCTACATTTTCATACTGCTTTGAGGAACCCTGGGGCATGGGGTATTGAGGTGGTATCCTGAGGTCAAATTGAGGTGGAAGACAAAGGGGGTAAAAAGGAGCTGTGAAGGCATGGTGAAGAGTCCTTCCCCTTCCAGTTCCACTTCCATTTTATTTATATTTTAAAAACTGTTAAGATTTTGTTTGTAGAGGCGCCTTGTTTAAAAACAACTAGGAGTTGTCGTCAACAATTAGGAGTTACTGGGATGCTAGAAGATGGTAAAGGGATTTTACTACTTTCCCCCCCAAGCCATACATTCACATTCTTCAGTTTCTTCTGCAGCTTGAGGAAACACCCATCCTTCCCTCTCCATCTTTCAAAAGTCAATTCAAATTACTTACTCCTGAAATCATTCTCTTAACACCATAATCCACAGGAAAATAATAAAATTCCCTTAGAAAGTATTACATATTCATTTCTTATTTTAAAAAGTTTCAGGTAAAGTAAGTCAGAATGTTGACCTAATTATTGGCCACAAATAGGTACAAATGTGCCTAAATTAATTTTGTAAATATGAATGACAATGATAAGAAAACAATTGTAGGACCAAATCAGTCTTGTGGTTTATTACAGATTTAAAATTTAAATTAAAAACTTTAAGCTTTTCAAGTAAATGGAAATGAATTACAAACACGAATGTCTAATTCAGGGATTTGTTAATTTTTTTCCATCTGGAAAACAGCTAAAATTCTATTTTAGGTAAAATAATTCTGTATATTAAGACACTAAGAATGGGGCACTATTTTTTAAATCTTTTGTTTAGCATCTGTTACAGTTTGCTAATAATTCAAACCAAAAAAACTCCAATATTTTCCCTTATTGCATTGCATCCTAACCAAGTATTATTTCATTTTCTAAAACTTGTATCTGTTTTCAAACCAAGTGACATACAATTCAGCAATGTCAGTGACATGAAGAAAAATATCCATGGCAAAAGAACAGTACAAAGTCTTTAAATAAAGAATATTATTGACTCAGTATGGAATGAAATGGGTTTCCTGGATCAGAGCAATATCTTAGTCCAAAAATTTACATGCCTTACATGCCAGTCTACTTTTGGCTGACAAAAACAAAAAGATTCAGAAGATGTTAATAACAGGAAAATAGGCCTGAGGCAGATGGGAACTCTTTGTATTATTCTTCTTGACTTTTCTGAATTTTTTTTAAGTCTAAAAAAAGTTTCAAAACAAATCCAAGAGCAAATAGGAAGATAAAGAGGCATTTCATTGAAGGGAAATGTTAATGATCAAACACTTGAATCCCAACTAGATGTCTCTACATGCAGCTATTTCAAATGCAATTAGACTTTACAAGAAGCAATCTTTAAACCAAAAACATCTAATAGAAGATTCTTTTTCACACATTCAATAAGTGATCAGTAAGTGTCTGAGAAACTAACTACACTAGGTTCTTGACCTTAAGAAGCTTACTCTATCCAGTAATTATTAAGTGTCCTGATGACAATATATATCACAATAGAGAGGAAGGACATTGTACTCTGAATGTAGTTTAAGGAAAGTGCCCAAGAAGCAGGATTTTAAGTGTGACTACATTGCAAATGATGCTCTGATTATGACTAAATTAAAGATTATATTGTTTCTATAAAACTGAAAACCAGGCCCTCCCTGGTGGCGCAACAGGTTAAAGCACAGCACTATAAAGCTTTCGCAGCCATTGCATCACGAGTTCAATCCCCAGCCACGGGGTAACCCATATGGCATGACAGACCTCTCCTCACCCGCCTGATGCTCAGCAGTGTATTTCAGAAGTCCATGCCTGTTCTGCTCTCCACTCTGCCTCTTGGTGAATCCTCTCATCCCCTGCACCTCTGGCCTGTACCCAGTTCTGTATGTATAAATAAATAAATCTTAAAAAAGCAAAACAAAACTGAAAACCAATACAATCATATATGGTTTAAAAGCATAAAGATATCTTTTTCTTTAATATTATTTTAATCCTATAAAAGGTTTTTTCCTACTTTCCCCCACTATTTAAATATATTTTTTAAAAAAGTTGGACAGAAAATTCAGTTAATCAATATGTCCTTTTCTCTGTCTAAAGGAGTTTACTGACATGTTTTCATAATCTGATTTCAAAAATACTTTTAAAAATTGGGCTAATAACTTATTATTATTTTTAAAGATTTGTTTATTTATGTACACAGAACTGGGGTACAGGCCAGCGGTGCACGGGCAGTGAGAGGATTCACCAGAGGCAATGGGGAGCAGAACAGGCCGACTGTTTAAGTACACTGCTGAGGGAAGCAGCGGGCGGGTCAGGAAAGGTCTGCCGCACCCTGTGGGTCACCCCCAGAGCGGGGATCAAACTCATGCTGAAGTGGTTTGAGTTTCTTAGTGCTGTGCTTTAACCCACTGTGCCACCAAGGAAGGCCCCTAATAACTTATTATTTTAAAGTCCCTAGAACAAGTAGTAATTTTTGTTACCCAAGGAAACTAGCAAATTACTACATGTTAATTAGCAAACTACTACAATTTCATTTTCAGTAAGAAATTACTCTGAGAATCTCAACTTCTAATGGGAGTAAGGCCATTCTCTTTAGAAGGTTAAAACAGCAAGAGTAATCAGAAACAGGAGATAGTGGTTTTCCATAGCTCCCGAAATACCTTTACAAAACCATTTACTTTGTATTGTTATAAATTCAAAAAGATAAGGCATTTTAGGAGTAATTTACAAACAACTTTTTGTGATAACAGAACATATGTTCCATCTCAGATAAGACCACTACATATTAAGTAAAAACTTAAAATTCATAAAAACCATCAACTGCAGTAGAGCAGTTAACACAATGTCTGGTACAGAATTTAATACATATATGGTAAGTAAAACATAATTCAGATATTCACCACCCTAATCAAAATTACGCAATATAATTTTTTTCTAAGTTGCTATGTTTTCAGTCATCATCTCAAATAATGTTGCCATTTTAACATTATCAATTTGAGTCATAGCATCAAAGTTCTGAATCACTATTTTTACTGAGTTCTTAAATTATTCTTTTGAGAAAATTTGTGTTTCTCTACTGCAATAGGTATGGCAATAGAAAATTTAAATCATTCTTAAGATATTCTTAGTAATTTAGCAAAACATCTTAATCAAGCTGATTACAAAAAAGGAAACAAGAAAAACAGTATTAAAATCAAGAGGAAGAAAAGTAGTTAGGTAATATTTACTTACTATAAATTAAAGTCAAGAATGACCATAAAACATGGACAGCCTAAACCAAAGACATACTTAATGTACTCATCCTTACCTACTCTACCCACTGCCCTAGATGTCTACTTCTAATACCTTGGAACCTTTAAAGTAGGCATTAAAAATAAGAAAAAAATCATCATATTTGTTTACTTACTGGTAAATGTTCAAGTAATGAAGTTACACTCTCAGACACATATATTATGCTTCCTTCTGTCATGATTGCTAAAAAAAAACCATCAAGAGCCTGAAATTAAACATAATGGTCAGTTAAATGAAAAGAAAAAAGTATTTCACGGGACAGAAATAAAAATCTAAGATATGTAACAAAGGACTTAAAGTTGAAATTTCCAGGGCATTGTCAAAATACTACTTTCACCTTTACAGTATCTTAGTTTACATTGTTAGACATTTTAAGTGCTTTGGGGAACATTACTCTATGGCTATTTGACAGAAGGATTTTATGACACTATTCTACCTTTATTTTATATATACATATATATATTTTATATATTATTTTATATTTTATTTTGCTATATAAATTAAGAATGTATATTTACTGAGAAGTTGTAAATACACACTAACAAAAATTTGACATGTTAAAAATAAGTGTTTTTCAGGAAGGTAATCTTAAAAGATGTGAGGAAAACCATGAGACAATATTGTCAAAAAGTTAAGTATATGTACATTTTCTCTGTGGTATATTGTAAGTTTTAGAATATTTCTTTTTGGAATATCTTCGTATGTATTACATGTCTTGGCAATTCATGACATGTAAAATCTGCCCATTATGAAGTAAAATGTGAACACAATGCTTTTCTATATACTGAACCAGTAAAAAGATAATTTACCTTCATTAAGGTTATTAAATGAGTATAGGTTATATTATACCAATCTGTGAAATTATAAGAACTTTTCCATATGAATAAAGCAGAGTAAGAAGTTTATGATTAATATAAAGGGTCTCAGTCAATTACACTGAGAACATAAAGAGTAATTAAATGAGTTATTTCCTTCCTCTGCACAGAGTAACCTGTATACACCCTCCCATAAACATACTTTTTCATACAGAGAGATGATTTTGGTCAAAGTCAAACTACTTTTTAGGGGGGGAAAATTAACAAAACTAGGAACTACATTTTGGTTTGTAACTTCAATGTCCGCTAACTTAAATGAGTCCTCCTTGATGATTACTAAGCCAGGACTCCCTGTGCCACGCCCGGCTTTCACTGAAAGAAGTTTCATGAGCAGCAGTGCACTAAGGCTGAGGCCGTGGGATTAGAGACTCATCTGCAATGAATCCTGAGCTACTTGCTATGTCACTTTTGGCAAATTTCATAATCCCTCTGTCCCTCAATTTCATCCTTAGGAAAGAAAAGGATACTAATAAGAGTTTAGTTCATAAGATTATTGTGAGAATTTACCAAGCTAGGTATGTAAAAATCTTTCAGATTTTAAGGATAGATTTAAATATATAAAAAATATTTATATTCCAATAAATTTTCATAGGGTAACATTTCTGCTGAATATATACAGATTTATTTAATCCGGTTATTCCACCTAAAGTATAAGCAAAAAAATAATTCATTAATTTGCAAAATACTTTGTGTTGCTTTTGACTTTAGTCAATACACAAAGATACTAGGTATGGCCATTTCATATACGCACATGACATAGATAAAGAAAAATTGCAGTTTAAAATATCTTGGGCCCAAACAAGGTAAGAGAGAGTAAGTAATATAATGATCCTACAACTCCACCTCAGCTGCTTTCCATAATTAAATTATGCTCAATTTTTGTTATCTACTTTTCTTGTCCCTAAGTATACCATCTCTATTTCATACTTAAGTTCTCATGAAAATGTGATGCTGAAATGTGTACATGACGCCTATATTGCTCAATATAGGAAATGATTAGTAAATAGAAAAACAGAATTGATAAGTGTGAATGACTCAAAACTTTTATAGCTGATTTTATAGCTGAGGTACTAAGTTCCAATTTAAGCAAGTGTGCTCTGTTTTCAAAAGTCTTTTTTTCGAAAAAGAATATTTTCTTTTGAAAGTTTCTACTTTAAGAAGAGCTGCCTTTCCAAGTATATTTCACAGTTTTACTATTTTCAAAATACTTATTTTGTTATCATTTTACATTGCTTTTATAGGTGAATTTTAATTTTATTAATTAAAAAATTTTATTAATTTGTTTTTAATTATCCTTCTGTTCAGTATGATACATTTCAATATATTAATGTGTGATAGGATGAAAATTTTTTTATTATTCTTCATTTGAATGTTAACAAGTGGTCTCAGGTAGAGAATTTCATAGCAATAGGTTTCTTCTTCATAGCAATAGGTCTCAAAAGTGTAAATTAAACTGAAATACAAAAATTTGGCATTACTTATCACAAAGAATTATTTGTTTACAACGCTTACATCGATTAATTTTAACTGAAGATAATAGTTTACAGATTTACATTAAGAGTTTTCAGTATTAATAACATTCATCCATATGATTTCACTTTTGAGGAAAATAAAACTTTTCAAAAATTAAATCTTGACATACCTCTAACATTAACTGTGTAAACTCTTCATTACTAAGGAATGTAGGTTTCCAGTCCTGTCGAATTTCACTAGCATCTGACTGTGCAGTGATTTCTGTAAACAGATTATTTGACAGATTAGTGGCATATATCAACCCCTGGGTTAGGGTTAGAGAGAGTAATGGTAAATACAAAAGTCCTACAAACTGCCTTTTTACTTCCCACTCTGAGGATGAGATCTGTATGTATCTGCTGGTCATGGTAGGAGTCAGGACGTCTGGATTTTGGTATAATAAACTATTTGTCCTAATGTGACAGTCATTTTCTTGGGCTTGGTGTCTTAGTAAACCAGAATGAATTTTTCTCTGGGGAGGCTTGAAAGCCTGTGTTGCAGATAGACCGGATTGCTTCCTGCTTGATGCAATGACCAAACAAAAATCAAAACATATCAGAGCAAGCATTATGATGAAGAAATTTTCTGTTTTTTCCCTTCCTTGCCACTGAAACGGTAGTATCTGGAGCAGATATAAGATGTGAACCTGGAGAAAAGGAACCAAGGAGGTGAGTCAATCTGCCTTTTTTAAAATAAAGACATTAGGCCTGCATCTAGTCAGGCAGAAAGATTCTTTCCAGAGTGAGGTGCTCTATCTTAAATAAACAAGGAGTCTAACTTAAGACTTTAAGCGAAGCTGTTAGACATAACTCCAGAGTAATTCTTAGTGTCCTCTTACATGTTTTCGTAGTAGTAGAGAGATGGTCCAATATTTGGAGATCCCTAACTAGGGACACATATTTAACACTGTTAGTTTATTTTGCTACATACATCTAATGGATTTACTTATGAAAACTCTATTCATAATTGATGACATCTATTTAAGTAACATATGAACTTGTTTAAATAATAAATGTTTTAATGCAAACATATTAAAACAACCAACCATAATAAAAAGATCTTGTCATAGACATTATTGCATAAAAAATATTCTACTTTATAGAGAAAAGTAGGGACCAAGTTGTTCTGACTTTTGTTGCCAGTTACACAAATATAGCACATTAAATTGTCATACAAAATCTGCTATAACAGAAATGTCTTCTGGAGAATATGAAGAATAATTAGTAGTGTAGTTAGTAATCCATGAAGTAAAAGTCATAATTTTTCAAATTCACTCAATTATATACATTCAAAAAAGGGATTTAAATCCATCAGCAAGTTCCAACAAATTTGAACAGGTTTTAGAGTATTAAGTATAAATCTTTTCCAATTTATTTGCATAAGAATTATATACCTGTTTTGAAAAAATCTTGACTGACTTGAAGACAAAATTTATCCTCTATTGTCAAGAAGAAATGCATACATATCATATAATTTCATTTCATTCAACAATCATTTATTTAATACAATGTCAGAGAGACTGAACATGCTATCTGATAAATGCCACTGAAGTGAGACTTATCTATAAAGGTAAAATGTAATGATAATAATGGCAATAAAAATGAAGACAAGCAATTTAAACACATTTATACAAGAATCAGATTTTGGCAGCTATGTCATGGTACTAAGAAAGATGAAAAAGTATCCAAAAGTCTTTTTAGGTTTGAGTTCTGCAGTCTGAAAGATTGGTGGTAGAAAATGGTTAAAAAATAAAGAGGTGACTTGACATCATTAAAATAAATTCAGTTTTAGCACTGAGTTTGAGGATGTTACAAAGAAAGATCCTGAGGTTACTGGGAAATCAAAGACTGAAAAGTTTGCAACAAAAAATACAGATTTACAAGTTTTAAAAGAGGCAATAGCTGAAGTTGTGAAATGAGATAACCAAGGGAAAGAATGTAAAAAAAAGTAAACATTAAAGATAAGATCCTGGAAATGGCAGACTTAGAGGGCAGGAAAATAAAGAGGAAAAGAACTTTGTTTCAGTTAAAAAAGAGGTAAAGGAGTAAGTAAAGTACAGCACAGTGCAAGAAAAAAAGAATTCAGGAGAAGATGAATTTAAATTTCTACAGCTTCAGATATTAAGAAGAAGAGGTGAGAAGAAGCTATTGCTTTATCAGTGTCAGGGGTGATGAAAGGGTAATGGCATTAATTAAAACAACAAAAAAACTTTCAAAGAATGGTGAAGACTAAGCAAGGCTGAAAATGTACTATCAAGAGAGGAAGGGAGAAGTAAATAGAGGCACTAGTTATAAAATCTCCTAAGTTTTCCAGATTCATCTGCATCTGATAAAGTAAGTATCCTATTACAAGTTCTTCATCTATCATCTTTGCTACAAAAATACTTAAAATTCTTTCTGTTCATGACCCATTTTGTCAACATATAACCATCTTATTTTAAAATGTAGTGTTTATTCCCTGGATATACACTGAAACAGGTTTTTAAAATGACACAGTCCTCATGATCTGGCTACTATTCTTTCATACATATTCTTTCACATATGCTCCAGTTACAATGACCTCTCCTATTCTGTTTTACACACACTGTTTTCTCTGTACAAAATGCTATATTCCATACTCCTCATAAATGGAAAACTCAGTTGAAAAATCAACTATTTTTAAGTCTTCCCTGACACATCCTTTTCTCTTTGTTTTCACAGCAAACATACACTTTATAGACACGTCTCATGGTGTAATTATCTACAATGTAATTAGCTGTTTACAAGCTTGTTTCTCTTGGCTTAAGTTATATAGGGGTGAGAACTGTTACCTTGCAACACAAGAATCTAGGATATAGTATGTACTAAATAAATGCTTGTTGAATGAAAGAACATACTTCCTAAGCAGTTGATTTCTTCCTCATAAAACAGTTTAAGAAGCAGGTAGTCTTAAGCATCACTGCCAAGATCGTATTGCATTTGATTTAAGAGATGAGTCTGCTATTTAAAAAAAAGCACTGAGATGGAAAAATGCACAAAATGATGTAAAAGTAAACTACTATATTATTTTTTAAAAAAGCATTTTATAAGTTAAACATTTACCTTTATGCTTTCGTAAAAAATCAATGCTCTTCTGTAGCACAGTAGACTTGTCCATCTTTCTAGCATTACCAGGAAGCATGGATCCCAGTTCTTTAATGAGGACATTAAATTGATCTCTACGTTTCTTTTCAGATTTGTTTCTAGACACTCTAGTGAAATAAAAAAAAAAACAAGCAGTTTTCAAGCAATCCATTTAATTACACAAATAATGCTAAATTTGGCACAACCACAGAGCACTGTCTCTTGATTTAGATAGTAATATTTAACTCCTACGTTACCAACAATATGCAGTTAATTTGGGCAATAATTTTTCGTCAGTTTATCATTAAAGGAACTTTAACACAGTAAGAATCTTTTATTCATATGTCTTTATAAAAAATGTTTATAAACAATACAAACCATATTTAAATGTCAGGCTTATTTTAAGATTTATTTATTTATGCATACAAGAACTGGGGTATCGGTGAGGTATGGAGGGTTGAAGAGGATTCACCAGAGACAGAGTGGAGAGCAGAACAGGCAGATCCAATGAAGTAACGCTGCTGAGGAGCTCATGAGGCATGACAGGTCAGGTCAGCTGCGCCATGTGGGTCAGCTACCTGACAGGAGATCAAACTCATGTTTCAATGGCTGGCAGTAGTTTGATAGGACTATGTCTTTTTAACCTTGTGCCACCAGGAAGGCCCTCAGTTATATTTAATTTAATATTTATCAAGAACTGTATTTTCCTCAACGGTTACTAAGAATATCACTGAAACATCTGGTTCAAATACATATTATTTGTGTTTACAAATCATTAAAAAATACTGAATCAGGAAAATTTGCCTGTAAATTATAAATTACAAATTAACAGTAGAATACTCCTCGAACTCTCGCTTAATCACACGTTCTTCTTCCTCTTTATTTCTACATCCCAACCGCAACCTTTCCATTTGTCTGTGAGCACCTTCATCACAGGGCCCAAGTTTTTCATCTAAAAAATATGTCACATTATAACTAATAAACAGTAAGCACTCAAAACCTATGTCTAAAATGATTAATTATTATTATCTAAGTGAAGTAATATCCAATAATACTTAGTTGCAATGAGAACTTTAGAAAAAAATAAATTCAATTATGCAAGTAATATTTAACCATTCTTTAACCACTAATATTTGCTTTGTAAAGTCAGATTTCCAAATTCAGTTTTTGTTTAAACAAAATTTACACTTTCTCCAAAAGTCATAATATAATTTTATTTTGTTTTTCAGTAAAAAGCAGGTATTTTATCTGCGTGAATACAAAAAAAAAAGTTTAACTGTTCAAACCTCTTAAGTAATATAACAGATGTTAACTGACTCCTTCAAACATGGAAAGCTTACCATAATGACAGACTATGTTAGTAAAGGCTAGGGGAAATGGGAAATGACAAGCCCCTTCAAGAAATTTATGTAATTCCTATGGAAACATGAAGGAACCAGGTATGGTATCCTAGAGTTGGGGGTAAAATGGAAGTAATAGATACTGAAAAAAAAATCAAGAAGCTTTTATGCTATGTAAAAGGATTTTAATTCAATCCTGAAAGCCACAGAAGGCAATTGAAGGTTTTAAGCAACCAAATGACATGAACAGATTGCTTATTAATAAGAACATTCTGGCACCAGTGATGTAAAGATCAATGATTGACAAAACAAATTCATTTAGAAAATACTACTAAGAATTACTATATGCTGCAAAGGACTGAGGGTCACATGCCCATTTAGCAGACAGCTGTCACACCACTTCTTAAACAACAGCAATAGTGTTTATGAAGCAGTGTGGTTTGAAGGTTAAGAGACAGAAATTTCCCTTCTAGGCAGATTGGATTTGATTTGGGTGAGGAGATAAAAGAAACTAAGAGGATCCTCAATAGGGTTAATGCTGTTTCTTAAAGTGAAATACAACATGTGATATTGGTTTTGGTGGACAGAGGATTCAGGAGAGAATTTAGGGATGGTGAAACTGCCCATTTGATATTTTAACGGGTATAAAAAGAAGCAGTTTGATATATATCCCTCTAGAGATGCCTAAGAAATAAACATCTGAGAATTAGTATACATGAAATATCTGAACAGAAGGTAAGGGGCTAAAAAAAATAATAGCCAATATTTTGTTGCATACTTATGTGCTAGGTACTATTGTAAGCATGTACAAAGTCTCCTTTAAAAGCAAGCTTACATGTTAGACTCAGTTTGAAAGTATTCAGTCCTTGTAATGAATGACCCTACTGATAACAGGTCACGGATGTATCATTACTGGGGGAGCTACAAAACTGCCTTTGTTCTGCATTCAACACTAAGGTCTTTAACTCCTCACTGCTTTCAGTTAGTTTAGTGTGGTGGTGCTTCATTGGACAGCATTATTACGAGATTCATTCTTCCTCCAAGATTTTCTACAGATTAATTTTGGTTTCCCCAAATCATGATCAAACTAAACCTTCAGAATCATTACAAACAGAATATCCGTAGCTCACTTTATACATCTATAAACTTGGTCTTTAAGACTCTAACCCAACTCCTTAGTGTTTTGCCTCTTCATTCAAGCAAGACATTCCTTTCATCTTATCAAAGACCTTATGTCCACCCTAAAGATTCTATAAAAACTCTACCCAGGCCCTCCCTGATGGCACAACAGGTTAGGATGTAGCACTGCAAGCTAGCTGCAGCCGCTTCAGTGCGAGTTTGATCCCCAGCCCGGAGGTGACCCACATGGCTGGCAGACCTCTCTTGTCTCGCCCACTGCTCCCCTCAGCAGTGTACTTCGTTGATCTGCCTGTTCTGCTTCTGGCTCTGCCTTTGGTGAAGCCTCTCATCACCCCTGCACCCCAGTTCTCTATGCATTAAAAAAATAAAAAAAATACATAAAAAAACCTCTTCCCGTCCTTCATTAAAGTAAGGTTTTGTTAAGAGATTATCCTATATTTTTGTTTTAGCTTTAAATCCAAATCTTTTCATTACCTTGAATCACACTATCTTTACTCAAAATCTTCTAAGATATACTCTAATCACTTTAACTATTTAGTAAATCCTGGTTACTGTGTTTGTCTTATACTTTAGTGTCTATTATTATGCTAATGATAGATATTCAAAAACTATTCCTTGTTATATTTCTTTTTTTAATCTGTGTGTAATGTTCTAATTGTTCTGTCAATATCTGAGAACCGTACGGTTCAATGGTGCTGGTAAAAAAACATGAAGTGCTTATTATTCATTCTCAGTGACTAGAAACTTGGCTGTAACGCTGCCTGGACACTCCTTCCTGATACTATAATTAACTGCGAAGGCTCCTCTTTAAAAGCCTTCACCATTACCACAATAGCTCTAGATCCCATTCCCTCACTTACTTGATAATATCACCCAAAATTCTCCCTTCTTTACTTCCCCTTTTACTGGACAATAAAGACATATCAACATAGGACATGGAAGCCATCCTGCAAGATCTCACAATGGTCACAACTAGAACAAACTGAGCAAAAAAACATGCTAATGGAACATAACCTAAAGTATAAAATATATATAGTCCATCCAGGTATAAGAAAATTTTCCCATAGAAGAATTTCAAATATTGTAGATTATATGCCTCTTCCAAAGAGAGGTTTTCCAATCTCCCCCATCTCGACACGACACTAATTTGCTTCCAAAACACAGAGTACGTTAAGAGAAAAACAGTAGATACAAGGGTGAATCCAGGCAAACCCTACTTTAACAAAATGTCCCCAGTAATGTCAACAATAATATGATATGAAGAGAAGGGAACTTTTAGTGAATAGTTTTATTTCACTGATAAACTGTATCCTGATATTTAAGCTCTTCCACTTTACTAATCTATCTAGGTATTGAGGTCATGAAGGCAGAAAGCTTTTGGAAATCACTGATTTACTATTTGGCTACTATTAAATTTACTCATTCATTTACATCTTAAGTTGATATACCTTTTCGCTTTATCCTTGTCATCTTCTTCCACCAACCCGTCAAAAATACTACCATCATCTCTAAAAAAAAGTTGATAAAGAATATGAGAACAGACTTAGGCAACATTAATACTAAATTCTCAATTTTCATGCATCAAATCACTAATGACCTAAAATTTCTGTGGGATGGATTCAATTCAATTTTAATTACTACCTGTTTTCTAATAATTACTTGAAAATTAAAGTTGGGCTATATTTGATTAAAATATTCAAGTTTTACTACATATATGAATTGAAAACTACTTAGTGGTACAATGTAAATAACATGCAAAACAAGAATTTAATCATTAGTTAAATATCTTCTTTCAAACTTTTAGTAACCAGCAAAAAATATAGGAAGTCAATGTATTTTCCTATAACATAGTTATTCACTTGAAGTTTCTTTTAATTATAATAGCATAGCTTTAAAAATTTATTTTCTAAGACATTCACTTTATCAAACCTGTAATCATGAATAAACATGCCACTAACTAGCATATTAACTTATATTAATGCACTTTCACTCATTCATTCATTATTGAAAAATATATGTATTAAAGAAACGTGTATTTATATTAAATGCATTTATATATATTTATATTACATCTATATTTCTATATTGTACTACACATACTTACTGTTTATGATAATAATTATTAACACTAGTGTACTAGGCTCTGTTCTGGTCATGGTTACACAGCAGTTAACTATTCATATAGCTCCATACTATCCTACAGCTTATTTTCTAGTAGAAAGAAATAAATCAACATGAAAATAAGTTGCAATGAAATTTTTTTTTAAGGGGTAATATTTTAGTTACTGGATATTTTAGTTGCTTAAGTCTGGGTGGCAAGAGGACTTGCTGAGGAGGCGACATTTCGATGTGAGATCTAAGTGACCATATTTATTCTCTCAGTAAACATTCTTTCCCAGAAGACTACACATAGATCCTGCCTGATGATATGGCACATCCCAAAATCTATGGCAGTGCTGCAAGTAAGTCTCTCTAAGGTAACATCTTAGGCCTTAGGTCTAAGTTCTGGTAGAGTCTAAATCTACAATGCTTGTTTCCTACAAAAGGGAGGTACACAGGCCCCAGATGTAAATGTCACTTCTATGTACAATGCTTGCCACAAAACTCTTCAAAAAATTTCCTATGGAAAAACTACACAGTACAGTATAATAAAGATTTTTAGCATCATAACAACAGAGATCATAATTACAAATTCTTACTAATTACATGACTTTCAACAAGTATTTAACAAGTCTGACCTATAGTTTCTTATCTGTAAAAGCTCATGGAATATTGTGAGCTTAAGTGAAGCAACATATAGATAGCTTGCTATATACATTAGCAAATAAGTACATTAAAAAGTTTCTGTATTACAAAAATTTAAGACATTATTAAATGTAAGACTTATTATTTCATGTATACCACTAAAAAAGATTAAAACATGTAAACAATTAAACTATGATAAATCAATTGTAAGATGACCCCAATGTCAAAGATGTTTAAAAAATAAATAAAAATTAAAAGCCACAGGAGTATTAAATATCAAAGCAGCAAGGAGGCTTATCCTTTTCCAGAGAGTAAGACTTTAAGATTACAGTTTTAACTAATGAAATCAAAAAATAGTTACACACTAAATTAGCCACAAAAGCTAAGATGCTTAAAGATATGGAGTATTCTAATGAACACTGATGTAAATTTCCTAAATAAAATCCTAGCAAACAAAATCTAGCAATAAGTCAAAAAGATAATTTAATATCAACAACCAGGATTTATTCCAGGGTCACAAGGATGATTAAACATCGAAAAATCAATGTAATACAACTGACAACATGAAGAAAAATGAAACCCATATGATAATTATCAATAGATGCTAAGAACGCATTTCAACAAATCCAACATCTATTTATGATGAAGGCCTTCAAAATTCTTGGGATGGAAGGAACACCTTAACATAATAAAGGTCATATACAACAATCCCATAGCCAATTATCACTCCCAATGGTGAAAAGCTAAAGCCTTTCCCTTAAGATCTACAATAAGACAAGGATGTCCAATCTCACCACTTCTTTTCTATGTAATACTGGAAGTCCTAACCAAAGCAATAAAATGAGAAAGACATACAAGGAATCTGAACAGGGAAAGAACAAGTAAACTATCATTATTTGCAGACAATATGATAATTACATAGAGAATCTTAAAAACTCTACAGAAGAGCTAATCAAAATAATCAACCAGTTTATAAAGTAGCAGAGTATAAAATCAAAACACAAAAATCAGTAACCTTCCTATATTCAAACAATCAATCTGAAGAAGAAATTAAGAAAAGCATCCCTTTCATAATTGAAACAAACAAACAAAAAATCCAATAGCTGGGTATAAACCTAACAAAAGAGGTGAAGGACCTACACAAAGAAAATTGTAAAACATTGTTGAAAGAAATAAAAGAAGACATGAAGAAATGAAAAGACATTCCCTGCTCATGGATTAGAAGACTTAATATTATCAAAATGGCCATCCTATCAGAAGCAATTTACAGATTCAACACTATTCCAATAAAAGTTTCAATGACATTCTTCAAATAAATAGAATGTTGATGAAATTCATATGTAACCATAAAAAAAACCTCAAATAGCCAACACTCTCCTCACCAAAAAGGAAAATGGAGGCATCACACAACCAGACTTCAAACTATACTCCAAAGCCATAATAATTAAAACTGTATGGTACCAGAACAAAAACAGACAAACAGAACAATGGAAATGAAGAAAACCCAACCCACATATTTATGGACAACAAATTTTTGATAAAGGAGCAAAGAAAATACAATGGAACAAGGGCAACTTGTTCAATAAGTGGTGCTAGGAAAACTGGACTGTACATACAAAAGAATGAAACAAAACTACTACCTCACATTATACACAAAAACCAACTCAAAACAGATAAAAGAATTCAACATAAAACCTGGTATCATAAAATAAATACAAGATAATATAGGTAAAACACTATGCTACTTATATCTTAGTAACATCTATAAAGACAAATCCCCCAGAGCAAAGAACGTGAAGAAAAAAGTGAACAGCTGGGACTACATCCAATTAAAAAGCTTTTGAAAAGCAAAAGAGACATTAACCAAAACAAAGAGACACTTGGGAGAAAAATTTGGGCACACAATACCTCTGATAAGGGATTGATTATAAAGATCTATGAGACTCAACCAAAAAAAAAGTAAACAATGGAGTCAAAAAATGGGCAGAGGAACTTAAAAGATACTTCTTCAAAGAAGAAATGCAAACTGCCAACTGGTATATGAAAAAATGTTCAACACCACTTATAATCAGTGAAATGCAAATCAAAACCACAATGAGAATTACACTTACACCAGTGAGAATGGCTCATTAAAAAAACAGGAAACAAAAAATATTAGTGAGTATGTAGAGAAAAAGGAACTCTCCCACACTGCTGGTGAGAATGTAAACTGGTCCATTCACTATGGAAAGCTTTCTGGAGGTTCCTCAAACTACTAAAAATGGAGCTTCCATAGGACCCAGCAATTCCACCCCTAGGAGTCTACCCAAAAGACACAAATATTAATTCAAAAGGGTAGCTGCACCCCTATGTTTATTGCAGCACTATTTATAATAGGTAAGATATGGAAACAACCCAAATGCTTCAAACAGATGACTGGCTCAAGAAGAAGCAGTACATATACACAACAAAATATTACTAAGCATCAAAAAAGGTAAAGGCATGCCTTCACTGCAACATAAATGGAGCTGGAAGGGATTATGTTCAGTGGGGGGAAAAATATATTGCATGGTTTCACATAAAGGAGGACTGTAGGGAAATTAAATAAGAGATCAGGAAAACATTAATTATAATAAGCTAAAAAGCTAAATTAATAGGCAACTATAAATCAGATGCACTACAGGGGAGGGGGAGGGCTAGGGATCAAAACAGGGGAGGGAAGAGCACAGGAACTATCACGGTAGTGCACGGGTAAATTGATGGTGGGAATTATATAGGGAGAAAGCATACATTGTACAAAAACGAAGAATAATGAAAAATATATATAAAATAAATATAAATAAAGGTATGGAGTTAGTACCAATAGATAAGGAGAAAAACGATAAGAAGTAGGGAGATTCCAGAGTATTGAGCAAACATTTTAATTATCATGGCTTCTTTCAGAGTAGCTCAGACCAAATCACTCAAAATTATAGCACATTTCAAACACTGACACTAAATAACATTAATATCTCTTACTGGTTCATTACAGAAGTTGAACATAGTAGTAATTATTTTAAGTGCAAAACTCCTTTTATCAGTTTGATAAAGACCATTGCTGTAATGGCAAAGTTGAAAATAGGTTTATTTAATTCAAAATAAAGTCTCCAAAAACATACCTGTCAACAATCGAGCTCATTTTACTACAGCTTACGGTAAACAACATAACATATTACGTTTTCGTCTTGTGGTAGACATTTGTACTTCTCCTTGAGTGGAAGGAAAAACAGTCATTAGTTTCCTAAAAAAACTTATTTCTACACAGTAATCGTGAGAAATACTGTTATCACATAAACTTCATGTTTTTGCTTCTACTGAACATTGGATCATTATTTTCAAGCAAATACCTATAGCCTATTGGAGGTTTAACATCCTCCAAATAAAGTACAGAGGAAAAGCTTCAGGATGGTAACTCATTTTTTTTCTTACTATATGATTAAAAAAGACACTCAACATTCAGTATACATCTAGACTATGTAACTGTAAACAGGCTGTAATAACATCAACTAATTGACAAACAGTTGTTGTAAGTCTATTTTATTAAGCATAATGTTAAGATTCAAGGATACAGGGATGAAAGATAGTTCATGAAGGTAAACACAGTATCCTGAAAAACACTATATGAGAAGTAGAATAGGGAGATAGATGCCTAAATAATTATAATAAAAGGGTTAAGAAAGGCAGATAAGGGATGATCAGAGGAAATATTCTTGATGACAGCAAGTTTGTCAGGTGACCTATATAGTTTTGTTACTGAAAATGCAGTCCAGAGACCGCATCTGACAACTTGTTTTTAAAAGACCAACTTGTTTTTAAAAGACCAAATCTTGGATCCCAACTCAGACCTACTAAGTAAGACTTTACATTTTAACAAGGCCCCATGTGATCTGTTCAAACATTTAAATTTGAGAAGTAACTTACTACAGGAATGGAAGGAGCAAACTCTCAAGACAGAAGAGCAATTTGCAAAGGCACAGTTTTTATGAAATGAGATAGTGTATTTGAGTAGCTTTAAGAGGTTCAGCATTTCCTTTAGAGAAAAATCTAGGCATGGTACAACAAAACTTTTATTTACCAGATCACAAAGTGAGAATAGGAGTGGTAGAGTAGTAAAGGTCGTAAGTCAAGCAGAGATGAGTCATATCATAAAAGCATTTATCCCTACACCAGAGGAGTTGAAATGTACTGCCTTCACCATATATCTGACAAGGGACTGATCATCAAAAATCCTTGAAATGGTCATACAACTAAACAAAAGGAAAAATGGTCAGAAGAACTCAACAGACACTACTTCAAAGAAGACATGTAGATGGCCAACAGGAATATAAAAAATTGTTCATCATCACTCATCAACAGGGAAATGAAAATCAAAACCACAACGAGCTACTGAGACAGTAAGTGCTAGCAAGAGTATGGTGAAAAAGAAACCTTCTTACACTATTGTTGGGAATATAGATTGGTCTAGCCCCTACACCAATTCTTTCCATAAGTGTGGTGATTCCTCAAAATACTAAACATGGATCTACCATATGACCCAGCAATTCCAATCCTAAATATCCATCCTAAGAACATAAAAATATTAACTCAAAAGGAATCTGTACTCCACTGTTTGTAGCAACACTATTTACAATAGCAAAGATATAGAACAAACTACATATCCCAGAACAGATAAGTGATCAAAAAATGTGGCACGTGTGTGTGCCCATATGCGCGCGCGCACACACACACACACACACACACACAGGAATACTACTCAGTGATCAAAAAGATAAACTCATCTCATTTGTAGCAAGAGAAATGAAATTGGAAGGGATTATCTTAAATGAAGTGAGTCAGAAGAGAAAAATAAATACTGATAGTTTCTTTTATCGGTGTTAATATAGAGAAAGCAAACAAAGTATCTGAGAAGGATCAAAGAAACTTTGAAAGCAGCCCCGGAAAGCCATGGCATCCAGGAGAGGAGGGAGAGGGCAGGAAAGAGGGAGAGAAGCACACCAGGGACTATGATTGCAAGACTCCAGGTGCTTTGGTGACAGGAAAACCACAGTGATCACACCTGAGGGGGAAAAAAATCCTATACTGTGAAAAAACCAAACAAGGATGTGAAAAAAGGTCATTATATAAATAAAAATTGGAATGCATTTAGAGAAAACGCATCCTTCAGACATTACTGGTTGAAATGCATAATGACACAGCTGTTGGAGATTATAGACAAAAATTAGTAACCCTCAAATTTGCATGAACCAGTGAAGTGATAAGCTAAATGTAGTATACTTATATTCATAGGATATATTCACTAATAAAAATGAACGACTGATTACTAATAAACATCCTAGTAGTTTCTGATGCATAAGAAATTCTACATTACCTATCATGTTTTTCCTTTAAAATTTAGAAAATAATATAAGTTAATGTGTAATTCTAACTAAACCAGAAAAGGTGTTCTAAGGTGTTCTAAGGACATGACTTCTAAAATATGGTATCATTGTTTTCAAATGTACTTTTGTGAGAGAAATAAAGAATAACCCTACATAAAAGATACCATATTGCCACCAATAGTTAAAGCTGCAGAAGTGCGACAGTGAAAAACAAAAAATTCTTAAAAGAAGACAAGAAGAGGAGTCAGAGGTAAAAATAACAGAAACAGCATCAAGATAAAACACTGATTTTAAATGCCTGGGTAGCATCAGCAAATAGAGCACAGAATACAGCATTTTAGAGTGAGAAGAGACTTTAAAGATTTCCTAAGTACCACCCTCTGTTCCAATATATATGTTCAGAAGTTTCAAACTATCACTAGAACAACGTGAATAAAGCAAAAAGTAACAGTCAATTTAAGTGAATTTTAAAAGAGCAGCTTCAGCTTAAAGTTTAAGCCTTATAATATAGATCTAAGCCTTATAATATATGCTTGTTTAATCACCAAAAGATAGAAAGAAGGACAAACTATGGGGGGATAAAGAGCCCCAAAATTAGGTTTTAGACCATAGGAAAGCACACACTGATTATAAAAAGTCAATTCAAAAAATTTTTCAATTAAATGAAGACCATATATCTCTAATTGTTTAGTACAATATTTTTCCTTTACTTCTCTAGCCAACTGATAGAACAGTTGGCAAAGGTAAGACAAAATGAAATACGCCCAAGTGTGCTAGAGAAACTATTGGAAAAATTCCTCCTAACATCTTTGAGCAGTGTCAAATTAACTTTAATTTTTAAAAAAGTGATAATGGGGGAATAGTTAAAAAGTCTTGTTTAGAGACCACCCTTTCCAACTAAAATCATATTTGATCAAATTAGTTATAAGGACCCCAGTTTTAGAAGATATGTGAGGTCCCTAAAATATAGCAGTTGACTTTCAAGGATATAAATTAACAGATATTAAATTTTATTATTAAAAGTCTTTTTTCTTAGACACAAAAACACTGATTGAAAAAGATACTTGTACCCCCATGTTTACTGCTGCTTTATTTACAATTGGAAAAACATGGAAGCAGCCCAAATGCCCAAAAGTAGATGACTGGATAAAAAAGATGTGGTACATATATACAATGGAATATTACTCAGCAACCAAAAAAGAGAAACACATGTCTTTTGCAGCAACTTGGATGGAGCTGGAAAAGATCATGCTTAGTGAGATAAGCCAGAAAGAGAAAGAAAAATACCAGATGGTTTCACTCATAGCAGGAGTATAATGGACCAGGCGAGAAAATAACAAAAATAATGAACAACCATATACCAGAGACATTCTGTGGGGGCGGAGTGGGGAATGGGATCAAAAATGGGGGGGGGGGGGAGGGGGGAGAAATGCACGGGACTAGGGTGGTGGCACAGGGGTGATTTGGTGATGGGAAACCCGGGGGGATTACAATCGAGATGGAAAAAAAAATGTGCAAAATGACGTAAAAATAAACTTTGTAATAAAAAAATGCATAAAAAAAATTTAAAAAAAAAGTCTTTTTTCTTAAATATTGACATTAATAGAAGCAGATAACACTTTTAATTCATCATGTAACATCAGAAATTAACAGAATATCTGTGCCAGACAATTCATCTTTGAAAGAGAAACCCTTATACATAAGGCAACACTTTTGTATTAAAAAGTGTTTGTATTAAAAATAAATGGTGTTAGATATGGTAGTGTCTGTTTCAATAAGTTTTTCTGCCTTATTTTAAAATTTAGTGCTTATATCTTTTTTTGCTAAGGTATACATGTTCAAAGTTCAAGGAATCCAGATAGTTTTATAAGACTTAATTTTTAAAAATTAGATGTCCTCTAGCTCCCAAATCTACACCCCTAGCCAAAATCTCAACTTCATAGTCATATATCACTCTATTTTTTTAATATTTCTACAGTTTTATTTCCCAACCTGAAATCATATACTCTTCCCCTCACTTACACCTGCTATATTTGTTCTTCTGTTCCCCAAGTATGTCATGATCATTTCTGTTCCTCTGCCTGTCAATCTTCTTTTTAGGCTCTTCATAAGGACTGACACATTCTTTGCTATTCAGATCTTAACTGAAACTCTTCCATGATGAGTGTTTCAGATCTCCTAGTAAAGGCATTACCAGCCTCTATTCCATTTCCCACTCTAATTCTCTGCACAGAATTAGCCACAAAGTATTCATTTATTATTTGTCTTCACTCCCTTTATAACATCCTATGACCACAAGGTAAGCATCTATCTTTTTCATCATTATATTCTGAGTAACCAAAGTGCTATCTGAACACAGCTGGCACAACACTTTTAAGGATTAATTTACATTTTTTTCCTGGAAAAATGTAATTCAAAGTCAAGTTTAAGCTGCAACCCTTTCATTACCTTTTTTTTTTTTTTGATATTTTGAACTGATTCTTCAGAAAACTGTAAGTTCAATGTATCCTACATCGATGACCATCAGTTTCAGTATTCTGTTTAAAAAAAGAAAAGAATAAGACTTATTAGATTTCTTGAACTTACAAAGAAAGTTTTTAATGTTTAAGTTTTTAAAATGAAGTTTTTAAGCAATTTTTAAAATAACAAAATATCTAACTTTACAATGTTTCTAAAAGAAAATAACTTTAAAATAGAGAATAAATGAAAACACATCTAGTATAGAAGTCAAAAGGACAAAAATAACTTATTACTCTAAAATAAAGGTATGTTAGTAGTCAAGATATAAAAGAAGCAATTTGTAAAATGTTACAAACTATGGTGTAAAATGTAACTAACTATGGTGTAGGAGAGAAGTAAAAGAGTAGACTTTTAAAGTTATCAGTTTAAAATAGATTGTTAAAACTAAGATAGTTTATGTAAGTAAGGTCCATGGTAGGCACAAAGAAATCAACCATAAAGGAAATTTTACCATTATGCAAACATCATAGGATATACTTACACAAAACTAGTTAGCCTACTTCACACAGAGGCAGTATAGTAAGAAGCACTGTCACTTATGTGGCTTATGTGGTCATCTTTGAAATGTTATGGGTCTCACTGATACTGTACATGCTATCTATAAGACACTTACTTTGGATTTAAGGATATAGGAAAGTAAAAGAATGGAGAAAGATATCCCCTGCAACTGGTAATCAGAAGAGAACAGGTGTGCATATTCTTATATCGGCCAAAATAGATTTTAAATCAAAAATTGGGATACTATCTCATGATGAAAAGGTCAATTCATCAGGGAGATATCACAATCATAAATCTAGACACAGCATTCAATCAAAACATGTAATCATTCAAATATTCAAACATTCATAGAAATGAAGAAATAGTAACACAGTTAATAGCCCAATGTCAATAATGAACAGAAGGCAGATAAGCAAACAAGTAAATATGAACAAGATGGACCAAATGGTCTTAACAGATTATACAGAACATTACACTCAATTGTAGAAGAATACACATTCTTTTTAAGTACACATGAACAGACCTTACATTGGGTCACACACGAAAAAAGTTTATCAAATTCAAGAAAACTGAAATCATAGCAAGTATCTTTTCTGACCACAATGGGATAAAACCAGAAATCAAGTAACACAAAGAAAAGTGGAAAATTAACATAGCAAAATTAAAGAATATACTCTTGAACAATCAATGGGTCAAAGAAGAAATAAATTATAAACTGTTGAGATTAAAGTATAAACACATCAAAATTTATAAAATGCAGCAAAGGTCATACTTACATTAAACTTATAATGGTTAATATTATGTTACAAGAAAGACCTCAAAAGACCATTAATCTAAACATCAAGGAATTGGGGGAGGGAGAAAATAAGCCCCAAGTTAATATACAGAAGGAAATAAATATTAAAGCAAATATAAACAAAACAGAGAACACAAACCAACAAAACAGATTTTAGGAAAGAGCAAAACTATTTAAAAGCTATTAGCTGGAGGGCTCTCCCTTGTGGCACAATGGGTTAAAGTACTGCATTATGAAGCTTTCCAAAGCCACTGCAGCACAAGTTCCCATCTCTGACCAGGGAGCTGACCCACATGGTGAAGCAGACCTCACCTGACACGCCTACTGCTCCCCTAGTCAGTCAGCCTGTTTTGCTCCCCACTCTGTCTCTGGTGAATCCTCTCATCCACCACACCTCTGGCCTGTACCCCAGTTCTGTAAGCATAAATAAATAAATCTTAAAAAAAAAAAAATTGTTAGCTGGACCTTCCATGATGACACAATAGATTGAGGCGCAGCACTGTGAAGCTGGCCTCAGGGGCCTCTGTGAGAGCTCAATCCCCAGCCAAGGAGATGACCCACATGGAGCAGCAGACCTCTCCTGTCTCATCTGCTACTCCCCTCAGCAGTATACTTCATCAATCTGCCTGTTCTGCTCCCTACTCTGTCTCTGATGAATCCTTTCACTGCCCCTGAACCTTGGCCTGTACCCCAGTTCTGCATGCATAAATAAAAAATAAATAAAAGTGTTAGTTAAAATAAGAAAAAAGAAAGCAAGAAGACTCAAATCAGGAATCAATTCACAATGGATTCCACAGAAATATAAAGAATGACAAAAGACTATTATGAACAAGTAAACACCAACAAACTTTATAACTTATAATAGATAAAAGCCTAGAAGTGTGTGATGTACAAAATCGTGAATGAAACAAAATCATGAATGGAAATTCTGAACACATATATAACTGTTATGTTGAATTAAGGATGAAAAATCTCAACAACAAAAAAGTCCAGAACCAAACAGATTCAGAGAATTCTACCAAATATTTTAAGAATTAATCTATACCAAACCTTCTCAAACTCTTCCACAAAAAAAATATAGACAAAGGTGTGTGCATATAAATATATCCATATGCATATACAATATACTTATACATATACAAACTCACTTTATTAAGCCAATATTACAAGGGAACATATGCAAACCCACTTTATTAAGCCAATATTACCTTAATCTACAGGCATAACTCCACACTGAAAACATAGCACAATAAGCCCTCAACAAAATTAACAAAATTCGACAGCAAATTTAATATATCCATACACCATGATCAAGTAGGGAACAAAAAATGATTCAATATACAAAATTAAGCCAACATGATACAACAAAGGCTAAAGCTTACTTGTTCATATCAACGCAGAAAAAACATGTAACATAATTAAACACCTTTTCATAAAAAAAAAAAATAGTTAACATCACATTCAACGCAGAGACAAATTTCCCCTAAGATAAGAAACAAGGCAAGAAAGTCCAATTCATCACTTCTGTTCAATACAACCTGGAAGACACAGCTAGAGCAATTAAGCAAGGAATAATTTACTCAATTATCCTAAGCCTCAGAATTCTCACTACACTGCATAGTATACCATCCTTTATACTATACTATACTGTGAAGTATAAAGGATATAGTGAACAGGAATACCCATTACTATTATTAACAAAATAAACACAGATGCAACTTATCCTTTAAAAAGCAAAAGGAGGGCCCTCCCTGGTGGCGCAGCGGGTTAAAGCACAGCACTGAGAAGCTAAAGCCACTTCCGCATGAGTTCGATTCCCGCCTGCCCCGAAGGAGACCACATGGCGTGGCAGACCTCTCCTGACCCACCCGCTGCTCCCCTCAGCAGTGTACTTCGTCGGTCTGCCTGTTCTGCTCCCCACTCTGTCTCTGGTGAAGCCTCTTGCCGCCCCTGCACCTCTAGCCTGTACCCCAGTTCTGTATGCATAAATAAATAAATCTTAAAAAAAAAAAAAGCAAAAGGAAGGTTTAAACATTTGCAGCATGACTAAAATATTAGTATGTTTACCACATAATAATGTCTAAAAGTTGTCCAGTAAAAGGTTAAAATCCTACCAAAACAAATTTAAAGAACAGAAAATATAAATCATTAAAAACAACATACAAATCGTTAGCTATGTAAAAGTTACTTCTGGCTAGAAATCAAAGAAACTTAAGTAAAATTAGATTACAATTAAATATTAGTGATTCTTTAAAAAATATACTGCATATATCTATCATTTAGCAAATGTTTACTGAGCATAAGGCTGATGGTAGTTTAAAAGTGGTATAACAGAGCCATCATATTTGAGGCAAAGCCCAGAGACATGCACAAAGCAGGCTGTGAATACATTAGTGGGATACAAAAAGAAGTTGAGGAAGTTACCTCAAAAAGTGATATCTAAGCTGTGATCTAAAGGATAAATAAAAGTTCAACAAGTAGATCATGAAAGGATACATAAAGGTAAAAAAGAAAGATGCCGCAGAGCATGCCTTTCCCACAACATGAGGACACTGAAAGATCATTCCAGCTACAAGACTGAAATGGAGGAGGCAGTATTCAAGTTAAGGAGATACAGATACTGAGATCATTAAACAGGACTTGGTAAAGGATCAGCAGTGAGGACAAAACATCAGCCAGGAGTACCTCCTAAAGTATGGACATATCTGGGAGTTGGGAAGGAAACTCAGGAGGAAAATAAGTTTGTGGGGTGGGCAGAGGAAGGGGAGTGAATAATGCTGAAAGCAGGGGTAACATTTACTGAACATTTACTATGTGCCAGGCAGTCTTCAAAGCTTTCCCTCCTTTAAAAGGTTCAACAATCACATAAGGTATGCTCTATTACCTCCTTACATGGAAGAAACTGAAACACAAGAGTACAGATGGCCAAGGTCAGCAGTAAAACTGAGATTAAAAACTGACAGTTCAGCTTGAACTATGCCCTTAATCATTATGTTACAGATACCTCCAGAAGTACTTTAGATGATGGATTCACTACAACGTGTGTGTTCAAGATTTCTCTGACATATACAAGAAAAAATATGTCCAGTAAGCAGTTTGAGGTAAGGGGTTGGCATTCAGGAAAAACCAGGTGACAATGTAAACGGAGAGACATTGAACAAAAATATGTAAATTACTGTATGCTCTTCTCTAGTAAGAACAAATAAAGTGAGAAAACAAGTTAATATTGTTATCTAATGAAAAATTAGCAGTTCAGAGACAGAAAAGTAGCTAGTAAAATGGGGAGAAGGCAGAGAGGAAGAGAATTTAAAGAAATGGGCTCTAGAGACAGTTATAACTTAGTCCCATTTATTAGCTGTGGGTCTTACAGTTATTTCATCTGTAAGCATTTTTTTTTATTTCTTTTTTTAAAGATTTATTTACTTGCATACACAACTGGGGTACAGGCAAGAGGTGCAGGGGCGGTGAGAGGATTCAGGAAAGACAGAATGGGGAGCAGAACAGGCAGATCAATTAAGTACACTGCTGAGGGGAGTAGCGGATGAGACAGGAAAGGTCTGCTGCGTCATGTGGGTCACCTCCCAGGTCAGATCAAACTGGTGCTGAAGTAGCTGTGGCCAGCTTAGTAGTGCTGCTCTTTAACCCACTGCAGGGTTAGGCATTTTTTTTATTATTTCTAAAGTAGAGATAATCATGTACCTGACACAGACAGTTGTTTTGAGT